GTGATTAGCAATTGTGGGGGGGGAGAAATAATTTCAGAGAATTGGGGTAAAATGAAAAATTAGACATCAACTTGTGAATTTATGATATTCTTGATATTTTACCATAAGTTGGCTGAGGGCCAGGTATTATTCGAAAATATATAAAAACCCTGGTAAAATTAAATTCTGAGAATTCACAAAAAGGTTTAGTCCATTTTGCTGAATTTATTAAATTATAATCTAAATATGCCAAGAACTGTTTTAAACATGTACATAAGCAAATCAGGCAAAAAAATGTTATCCAAAAATAAAATTTTAGATTTTTTACATCTGGTTTCAAACGGAATTGAATTGAGTCTTTGCCACAAACTTTTTTTTTAGTCCCATATTTTGTTGCAACCAAAAGCCACAGACCTTCATACTTAAGACTAAAAATGTTATTAGGTCAAAAAATCTAAGCTTGAAGTCCGAAATGTTTATATTGCCAGGTTTTAAAGATAAAGGGATAAGAAAATTTGAATTTTTGGCACAGGCTCAAATATTTTATCTCAAAAATCATTTAGTAATATTTTTAGGGCTAAAATAAACAACACATTTTTATCCAATATAAACCGTTCTTAATATTTTTGAATTGTTACTTTTGTAGTAAAAAATGTGTTCTTGCAGAAACAATTGGATACATTCTGATAAAATCCATTCTGTTCAATATGATCAGTTGAAATTTCCAATTTTGGTGGAAAAGAGATAAAAGGAAAAAAATACATTTTTTAAAAGATTGATCCTGTTTAATTCTGTACTTTTGTCCCTTCGTGAAGGTTAATCGACATACATTTAAAAAAACGTACATTTTAACCCTATCTCTGCTGGGGCACTTGAAAACTAGGATATGCTGGGGGGGGGTCAATTTGACCCCCCCTCTAAATCCCATGTTTGATGTCCAAATATGACAAATGATACATCATTGGAAAGCTCTTGTGCTCTACTTTTAGAATTGCAAATTTGCAAAAATAGAATTTTTTATCGCAAAATCCAGTTATATAGTAAAAATGTTTGCAAAAAAAATTTGTCCAAAAAATTCAAAATTATACATTTTTGACCATGCCATTTCAAATATGCAAAGATTTTTACAAAATTTAAAATAACCTGATTTTTAATCAAGAAAAACTAAAAAAGTGCAAATTTCCTTTGACAGGTTGTTTGCAATTTGTTTTGCAAAACTTGTGCAATTCGTTTCCTTATATGTCAAAGGCTTTCCAAAAAGCTAAATTTTATCAAAATCTGACAAGTGAAAGTGGGTCAAAACAAAGATTTAGTTTGTTACAGGAAAAAGCAGTCATTCAGGCAGTGTGCCTAATTAAGGACTCAGGCGCGCAGTTAGTATTAAAGCTCGCTTTTAGGCCTAACGGGAGGGNAAAAAAACTACAGGGGGGGGTCAAATTGCCCCCCCCCCCCAGCAGGAATAGGGTTAAAAAAGACTTAAAATAGTTAAAAGATATTTATGTTGAGTTTCTTCAATTTGCAATACAATTTTCGCTCATAAGTTTGTGCAATTTAAGTATAGAGGAATCGCGAAAATTTGCTTTGCAAATAGCGATATGTATATTAAACATTTTTTATTCCTCAAAATTTAGCTCATGTCAGTGGTGGAGGCTTTAGAAGCTGTTGGTCTGAGGGATTCTCTGTTTGAATTCAACAACAGTCTCAGAAAAACCTATGACACTCAATAAATTTGTAAATAAACAGTTTAATTTGAAATATACTATTTACAATTGAAGAAAGAATTGTTTACATTTCGTAACAACTATATTTCTATAGTCAAAATAAACTAAAATTATAAATGAATAGGCCTGCCTTTTCTTATCTTTCAGGCAGTGTAGTATAAAGTTTAGTTAAACTACACACCTAGAACAATGAAAATATTAATACTGGGTGTCATCTGCATAAATATCATCTGTCAAATCAAAGGGTTAGTGAAATACAAACTTTAAATGGACTGTAAGCATAATTTTTAACCACCCTGGACGTTTTCAGTGATACAGTAGTAACAAATGCAAATTACAAAAAATGGTTGCAACATTTCTTTTATAGAAAGAGGAACAAAACGATATTCATGCCACAGTTTTTGGTTCTAAGTGTATCAAGTAACCAAATTTTAATTTTAATTTTATATTTAACCTTAGATTGTTAATTTTATGTCATTTTTCCTTTTTTAACCTAGAAGTGGAAATAATTTTCTTTTTAACTTTCAGAATTCCAAAACTCTCTCAAATACAAAAGCAAGATAGGAACATGAATGCAAATTAATTTCTTGTATAATAAGATATTAACATTTAGTGCGACAAATATGAAGTTTTTCATTGAGAATCAGAAAACTGTGGAATGAATGTCGTCTTTTTATCTTTCACTTTAGATTTTGTGATTAGCAATTGTTGCATATGATATATTTCTGAAAATGTTGATGTTGAAAACCCATAATCCCGTTTGATCTCGATATTTACTATTAGCAGTTTTAATTTGAGGACCAATGATTTATTTCTACATTAAATTAATCTGTAGATTAACAAATTTTTCCACAATGCAAGAGTTTTCCAACCTGAAAAAAATGTTATCCTTGCAAAATTAAGTACAGTGCAATTGAGGATTTATTTGAATCTTTTTATTTAAGAGATGCTGATCCAGTTTGGAGTAGCAAAACAGATGGTATTGCTCACAGCTGTGACAGCAGCTGGAAGAAACAGCTGGGATTTACATGCAGCTGTTCAAAGCCAGCTGTTGACTGTAAGCGTATGAATATCTCCAATATTGAAGATCTAGGAAAAGAGATGTTTGATTATTTTACAGTAATAACCTGAAAACTCTGATAAAGGAAAACTTTATAGCAATATAAAAGTGTATTTGGACTAGTTATAAGTCAAACAGTTTTACTAGTCAATTATTAGATCACTTATAAAGTGAAATGTGTCTGTTTAAACTTCACAATTGCTGTGGCCCATTTGTATTGGACTATTTCAAGTCATTTGGTAATAACTTGAGTCTAAAAGTTGTCAATCTATTTCCAGAAATGTTTGATGAAACAATTTGTTAAAATCTTCAATTCATACACAGGCCACAGGGTGTCCTACATAAAATTGGATTTATCAAAGTGCTTGCATTTTACAACATGACAAAGCGACAAGATTATCCAAAAAACGAGCTTTTAACCAATCCAATTAGATGTAGGACACGTCTGAATAAAATGGAAAACTAAACTTATACACAATAAAAAATGCATAATCAGATACTCACAGTGGTTAATTTGTTTCACTTTTTTACCAGATCCTGTAGTTTAACAAGGTAGATCACCAAGATCATCAGATTTATTTTAACAAGGTAGATCACCAAGATCATCAGATTTAGTTTAACAAGGTAGATCACCAAGATCACCAAAATCATCAGATTGCCTCAACAAAATGTTTAAAGTCGATAGCTACACTAAAAAATGAAAACACAACAAACATCCTTGACAGATATCCCAGATGAAACTACTAATTTAGATCTATCTTTTAATAATCTCTCCAGGTAAACAATCGTATTAACCAGACTTACATACTACATAGGGAGGGGAGGTAAGGGGGCTTAGTCCACCTCCTGGATTAGTAAAATCCAAGGCTTTCAGGGTGGGGGGGGGGTCAGGCCCCATGGGGTGATTAGTCTCTCCTCCCGCTGTGTACGCCCTAGACCTTAACTATTAATAAAGTTCTTTAATCGGATTAAATAAATTTGATTTTTGTATTTTGATTTTTTTTTATAAATACTGAAATATTAATAATGCTCTAATATTATAACTACTTTTGATAAATACCTTTCTTTTAATCTACTTTTTTAATAAAAAAATGTTCTCCCAATTTATTTCCAAATGTTCTCGATATCCAAAATACAATCATTTAAATGATATTCAAGTTATAACAACTAAGTATAAAAAAATCTCAGTAGAAATGCATTATAGGGAGATCAGAATATTAATCTTTCCGCAATTGTTTTTTCAACCACGGTACATATATCATATGTTTCATTTCAGTTTACTAGATGATCTAACAGGGTTCCCTTTCCCAGTAGAAGAACTATTCCTTTCTCATAATAATCTAGAAACCCTGTCAAACCTAACATTCTACAAGTAAGCTGGCTACAAACTTAGAGCTTTCAGCGAACAAAAATTTTTGCTAAAACATGGACATTTTCGCAAAAATTTTCTTTCCTATTTTGGCAACTTTTTGCAAAATATTGTATTTTTCGCGAAAATAAATTTGCTAAAGGAAGATAAATGTTGCGGAATTTCCTGAAAAAAAATCATAACATGAGACTATTTCGCGAAAAAATTCAAATTTTTTTACAAACGAAATGCGAAAAAATACAAAATTTTTGGCGAAAAAATATTTTCGAGAAAAATGCAAAAATTTTGTGAAACGATTTCCACATTATGCTGTAACACACTACACAATTCATTATTTCATTTTTACTAAAAATGTTGACATGATCTTACTGGTTGCATCAAATGTTAATTTCATAAAAGATAAAATCTTAAAGACAACTATACAGAATTTATTTGGTGTTTTTATTTATGGGGCCTGCCACTGTATGCTTTAGATCTTGTTTCTTAATTTACCACCAAAATACTCTTTTGCAGGCAGAAGCCTAAGTTCGCCCTTTGAATTGTAAGATTAAAAAATAGTTTGGTCTTTATTAAAGTCTCATCTTTTTTTGCTAACTAGCTAGTTTTTCATATAAATATTTATTTTCTGACTAATTCTATTTTTTAGTTTTCCTCTTTTAAAGTTTTTGGATTTATCTCACAATAATCTAAAAATAATAGAACCAGGTAAATATATTTATTTACATTTATTTATATAAATTTACATTAATTTACATTTATTTGCATTAATTTGCATTTATTTACATTTATTTACATTTATTTACATTTATTTACATTTATTTGCATTTATTTACATTTACTAGAAATTCAAGGCGCTTCGCGTCCATCTTCTATTTAAATTGTGAACATGTTTTTTTTTGTTTACATTTTAAAACCAAGAAGAAAAAAATTTTGCGGATTTTTAAAAAAAATCGCGAATTTTCAAGAATTTAATTTTTTTACAAAATCACATTTTCAAAAATTTTTATCATATATAAACCTTCCCTGTGGTCACATGATGTCCCACAAAAAATTTGGGCCCGATCGGTTCAGCCGTTTTGACGTTTATTGGATACAAACAAACAAACAAACAGACAAGCCAAATTCATATGTAGATTTACATTTATTTACATTTATTTACATTTATTTACATTTATTTGCATTTATTTACATTTATTTACATTTATTTACATTTATTTACATTTATTTACATTTATTAATATTTATTTTCATTTATTTACATTTATTTTGAATACAGAAATATTTGACTTTCTTGTAAGGCTTTTAATGCAGCCATCTTAAAGTTACAATGGGAATTTAAAAATACCGAAAACATTTAAATCAGATGACATTTTTGAATGTTGACCTAAATTTGCCACTTTTAAAGCAAAATCAGAATTTTATGTTTTTTATTGTCTCAACAAAAGTATATAACTTGAATGAATTTTTCTAATTTTCTAATTCTAGTTTTTAACTTTAATACTTTATTTTAATCAAATTTTTCAATATTTTTAAATTTTTATATAATATCAGATGAAAACATTTTGAGACTCCTATATTTCTTGTTTTTCATTCTTTCTTCTTGATCGTCCATTCTTTGTTCATCCTTCAATCATATTTCATAATTTTGGAAATAAAAATTAATGAATTTTTTGGATGATCCTGCAGCTAGCCAAATTGCAGAGAAAGAACTATTTTTTCGAGCCTTGTATAAAATTTGTGTTAGTAAATAACTGAATTTAGTAAACATAGAATTTTTACATTTTTTAAAGTAATACATGATTTCCTAATAGCTTTCAAAAAATGTTATATGATACTCAAAGATTTTTTCTAAAAAATCTTTTTTTTGTAAGGAATAATATATCATCTATCGAATCTGGAGACAATGGATTTATCTCACAATAAGCTAAAAGCCTTTTCTCCAGCAGTCTTTCCAGTAATAAACAGTATTCAACGGTAAGTATTTTTATTGCCTTAAAGGGGAATAAAAAGTACATATGCGCAGAACTTTTTTTAAGCCCCCCCCCACAAAAAAATAAAACAAGAAGTTCCAAAGAAGTTGATAATTATAATAATGATAAAATTCAGTATAAGTAGATATTACCTTTGCGTGTAAATCTTTATATGATATATAAAAAAATAATAATAATTAGTATTACATAACAATAAAGATTTTAAGATATACGCTTATATAAATGTTACAGTTGAATATTTAGGTTTTTCTAAAATATAAATTGTTCATTCTCTTATTTAAAGATAATAATTACATTATAACAACATGTAGATATTGATAATAATATTAAGTATTTTGACTATTAAATACTCTCATTTTTAGGAAGCAAGCGAAGGAAAACATAAATGTTTTGATATTTTATAAACCAAGGCTCTATACACGTCTAATAAGTTTAAGACCCTTGTTGGCTATGGCCAAAGGAGCAAACGCGTGATAAACAGGGTTACCATCAAAGGATCTCAGACTATAATGACATTCACAAATGTATCAAATATATCTATTATAACCAGTTAATTTGGGTTTTTATCCTCTGAAAATCATCATTTAATGACAGTTAAATGAAACATGTTTCCATCTCCTGCGACCCAAAACTGTGTACATAAATTCTGTACAGTCTTCTCTGAAGTATCATCCTTTGTGGTAACCCTGTACATTATTCCGTACATAAAAAAACAGAAGAAAACTTAGTTAATATTAGTTAAGATTGGTATCAATTCATTTTTGTTTGAAAAGATGGTTCTAACAGAAAAAATGTCGTATTCCTGCATGGCAATAAGATTATAGGATTTGAATCCTTCTATTTTCAAAATGGAGGGAAAACAGCTGCACGGTTTGCTTATAGGCTTAGGAAGGAGCTCAGAGGCCAAGGTCTAAGCAGGTATAAACATTGCTTAAGCCTCTTCAGGCTGACGTCTGGTTTACCCATAATAGTCTGCAATATCAATTTATTAAGCAAAAAATGTGGCAAAAACAAAAAATGCGCGAAATATGATAAATTATACATTTTTGAAAAGCGCTTACCATGGCGAATTCAAATTTTCAAAAATATTTAGAAAATTTTGTAAAACTAAATTTGTATTTAAGGAAAACTGTGCAAATTCTGTCCAAAAATCTATGCAAAATTTCATCGCAAACATTGTTCAATTTGTTTCCTCTTGTTAAAGGCTTTCTAAAAAGCCATAAAAAGTCTAAATCCAATGACCGGAAGTAGATCTGAATATAGATTTAATCTGGTAAAGGTTAAATAAGGCATTCAGGCAATATGCATGAGGAGGTGCATATGTTAGTAAGATAAGTTATAATATTTGAACAGCCTCAGACCAATAATTTTTTAAAACGTCAGGCTCCCCCCCCCCCCAGCCAGAATAGAGTTAATATTCTGTTATTACAGAGAGGTCCATGAAACTGTAAAATTGGCCGGAAGATGACTGTTGGACTCAAGTTATTAATATACAATAAACACAAAACTAAGCAATTTTGGAGTTTAGACACACCCTGACCCATTTCAGTATCTTGATTTTCTACATAGATAAAGGCAACACAACAGCAAAACACATAAAGTGTCTTTTTATTCCACAGTTCTATGGCAACTCACATTTCCCCTTCAAACCAAAGATTAACTATAAGATCCTTGTTTAACGATTCTGAAAAATTCTGATAATATTTTCTTTGCCCTTACTGAGGCCGAATTTTAAGAATTTGAGCCACGGCTTTGATTTAAGCCGCGACTCAAATATGGTTGTTCCACTTAAAATTGTATTCAATGTTTCGAGATTTAAGCCGGCGCTCAATTAAAACGGGTATTTTAAATTCATTAAATTCGGACACTGGGTAATCAACAAGGCTACTTAAAAAGGAATATTCAACTAAGAATTAAAAATGATAATGTCTTGAGAAAGGTTTAACGGCCCACCGATGGTTTAAAAATGAAATAATAGATTAAACAAATTATAGAGAAGCAAATCAAAATTTCATTTTTAATTCTAGGGTAATGTTTGATCTTCAAAGAAAGTATTTATTAGATCAGCAAGTTGAATTCATTCTTTCAGGTAAGCAGAATTTTTGAGGTTTAATAGGCAAAAAAATTGCTGACATGGCATAAAAAATGGATGGCTGTCAAATAAGCGAAAAAAAGTTTACATTTAACACAAATAAGTCCTAGAATTTTTGATGCCAAATAAACAATTTTTTTGTTAAATACAATCAATTTTTTGTCGCTTATTTTACCATCATCAACATTTTTCGGCCAAGTAAGCTATTTCGTCATTTGGAATTTTAGAGTACATTATTTTTGCTCCGTTCTTAAACATGATATTTGACCTTACCTGGATCCACAAGAATCTGAGATATTTAACCGAAATGTAGAAAACTTGTATTTTCTGTAATGTTGCTTTTAATAAATTATGTCTAATTGTATCTGTGACTAATGATAAAATAGCGAAAGGTTTTTTAAAGTGGTTTATGAAATCAGATCACTGAAATTAAGCACACTTACCCACAGCAAATAACTGGATTGGATATATCAAGACTGGGATTCTCGCACTCCTCACAAACCTTTGGTTTAAAAAAAAAGATCTGATGCCAACATCTGTTTAAGCAATTATAACCTCCTGACGGAAGAAGGGGACAGAGGGGCGACTTTCCATAACTTTTGCAGCGAAAGGGTGCGTACTAACTTTATACTCAACAAGAAAAAAGCTTTTAATCCAAATAAAAGATGATGAAGAGAGAGGATAGGTGGAAAAGCAGGGAGAGTCGATGGTTTCCAGTTACAGATACCTGGAGGTATTCAATCTGGGCTTACATGATTGGGAGCAATGAGGGTGATGTTTCCTGTCTGTAAGGCAACCATGCCTCAATTCAGTGTATCAGAAGAATTTATGCACTCAACTATTCTCAGCCCTAAGAAGCTCTTAAGAAGCTTGATTCTAGTCAGCCTTCTTCTTAGTATGAATGAAGTGTGGATGGATGATTGTGCTGCCAGATTACAACCCCTGGTAGATCAATGAAATCAAGAAATATATAGACCAGGAACCGCCATATCTAATGCGTCAAATTTGTGTACTGCAGTGGGAGGCGATCAAAACAAAGAATTCAGGGGGAAAACATCATTTATGAGGGGGGGGGGGAAATAAAGTATATTGCTATCGTAGACACGAATACTGATTATAAAACGAAAGACTATTTGTTACTTGAGAGTATATGCTTTAAAGACAGGAGAGGGAAATGATAATATCCAAGATTATATTCAAATTGTAAAACGTTATATAAATTGGGATGTTTTAATCAAAGCAAAAACAATTCCTCACTCCATGGGAATCAATGCAAAGAGGAACTGTANTATAGTTGAACAAATCTCACTGAGCATGAATAAATTTTCCATATTGATCTGAAACCCAAAAATCATATTTAAATAAATAATTTGTATCCGCACTAACTTAATATATTAACTAGTTTCTTTTGTTTTTGACTGTAACATTACTCTGTTTATCAGTGTTTAATCCTTTCTCTTCAACTGCTGTGGGGGCACTGGATTTGTTTACATTCCTCCCACAGTGTACAGTACACAATTTGCGTATATCTGAGTTGGGCGTTCCTGGTCTATATATTTGTTGAATGAAATAAAACCTACACCAAACTTTCTCAATGGGAAAAAATTCGAGATTTGACAATTAGATCTTTTTTTTGGGACAACAAATCTTTTATAGAAAAACATCGATTGGTTTATATCTTTGGTCAGTGATAAAAATTGTGCACATACAGTACATAATACTTTTCCAGCAGCATACAATTTTGAAAGTAAAAAAACATCTCAGATTCTAATAAAGGCCTTCAAATAATCCAGAAACTAATTATTTAAAAATAGATTCCAATATCAGGTCCTTACTTTGCTACAGTTGTTGGTTAAATTAATGCTGAAAACTTCTTGAAGATCTTTAAAATGTATAAATTTGAACAATTTGAAAAAAAGAATATCTAAAGTTACACTTATGGAACAAACTTTGTAAATAAATGATTTTCAAGATTCCTTAACAAGTCTAGGGCCAGCTGAGCACGTTCAAACAGTTTCATTACTGTTAGTTAAGCAATCTTAATATTAATAAGGTTTTTTAATCAACGGTGCAAGTTTTTAGTATTAACGGCATTAACGGTTTGCCAAAACTCCAAGCAGAAAAAAAGAACAAAAGTTGGCGTTTTTTTAAATCCATTCATTTCGTTTTCGTTTTCAACCATGAATTTTTTCAAAAACTCCTTTTCGTTAATGATTTAAAAATTGACTAGTTTCGCCCTTCATTAATAGACTCTTCCGTTAGTGTTCAAAAACCTTCGTTTTTTTAGCAATCCCCGATTATGAACTTCCAGATGAAGCTTTTAGTGGACCCTTGGCAAAGGTATGACATTAGACAAGCAAGGTATGGTTTCTATACTTTCCTCTGAAACGTACTAGATTTAGAACTGGTTTCAAAACAAGCTCTGACCTTTGTTTTTATCTTTTAATTGTTTTGATAAATCTAGTTTCTAATAATCCAGATGCAGGTTTACCCACAAAGGATGAGACTTCAGAGATCACTGAACAAAATTTGATCAGCTTTTTTTCTTACTTTAATGGTGACATGTAACTTTAATTTTTCCCTTTTCTTTGCCAATCAATTAGCACACTTTTAAAGACTTAAGACTTAAAAACCTTCAGATTTTGATATTTAAAGATTTTTAGGTCATCATCCTTTGAAGGTAACCCTCTTATGTTTGATCTAAAAATGAGGTTGTACTACTGCAGTTTACGACATTATTTAATTGTATAATTTTTCTCTTGATTTTTTTACAGTTCGGAGAAGTAATGATAAAGAAAACAGTTGTTGGTGTTCAAATAAACCTTAACACCTTTAAGGTATTTTTATTGCTTATTTATTTTTTAGGGCATACCAAATATTTACTATATAGGGTTAGGGGGGGGGGAACTAAGTAAAATGATGATTATGTTCAAAATCATATCTTTCCAAACTAATAGAAACCTTAGATAACTCAGACTATAGATTTCTGCAAGATCGAAAAATCTAGTTAAAAATATCAAAGGTATACACTATCAGGTTTTAAAGATATAGGAATGAGTTTGAGGTAAGTAATCAGTTCCTTTTCTATGTTTCTATAGTTTCCAGAACTCCCTGGTTTGGAGAAAAATCCCTGTGAGGAGCTCACCAAGCCTGAGCTCAAAACTATCCTGGAGAATGGAGCTTTTACAAAACTTCAACAGGGACCAGACTTTTATGAATAGTGGGACTTAATTCAACTACATAGACTTAGCTACTTAGGGCTGGAGGGGCAATAGAAAGATAGTAAGATAGAAAGTGGGACTGATACTATGACATCTTCATGCATCGGACCGACTTATCGTAGGTATAACAACTATTTTTCCAAACCAAAAAATTGTAAAATCAAAATGTAAACAAAGCCCATTTCTTCAAATTGAACCGGCGTTAGTATAGTTGTGGTCTACATAATTGAACTACGTCTAGATAGTTCAAATACGTAGTTAAACTACGTCTACATAGCTGAACTATATCTAATAAGTTGAATTAGGTCTAGCTATTAATAAAATCTGATCTCAGAACAACCTTATGCTGACAAACTGGATTCCAGTGCTGGTTGAAACAGAATCTGATCTGATGTTTGTATTGAGAAAGGATTTAATGGTTAGATTTTAGTATTTTGTTGTACACAACATCAGTGCCAGACAATCGAATTCAAAATACGTGTTTACGAAGATGCAGAGATTGAGAAACATCAAGATGGTTAAAATATCCAATTTAAGTTATAATGATAAGCTATGCAAATGTGCAAAAAGATGCGTTAAGTGGTTGACATTGAGATATTATGTTAGTATTTTTAAATAAAACCTGTTAACAAATTTAAAATCGCAAAGAAACTGAGTTTTTGCAATAAAAACTCAGATTTTCTATTCTCTTTATCTTTGCATCCGAACCCTGCAGAGTTTAGATATTTCAAACTTTGAATTCTGGTAGAATCTTAGTTTGAAATATCACAGGGTTATTTCAGTTATATGGATTAGGAATTTTAAAATTTGAGTTTGTGGCAAAACTCAATTTCTTTTTGCTTTATAATGACATTTAACTATTTATACACATCCTGCATGACGTATTGTCAGTTCATAGTTGGTTTAGTTGGCAATTTTAATAAAAATTTCAAGATTTGAGCCAGTGCTTCATTGGAACCGATTATTGACGTTTCTTAAAATTTGATCTCTGATTTGTTTTTAATTATTAGGCAGTTGTTGAAGGAGACAAAGAGAATCCGAACTCTTTAAGTATTTTAACCATGCCGTTCCCTTCTCACTGTGGGGTAAGTTTAAAATTAAGAATTAAATTCTGAAAAGAGTAGAGAGAGGTAGAGATCTTCAATTAACTAGTTTGAATTCATGTTAACAATTTAAATGAAAAATAATATAAAAATGTATTTGGTGTAAAAAAAGGTTTACAAAGACCTATGTTTTTATAAAACATTGTGACAATCCATTTCATTATCTGTATATTTAATATTTACAATTTTGTTTTTATAATTAAAAATAAAATACGATTATGATAGTTTTGATTCATATATAATTTTAAATTTCAGTTACAAAACTGTATTGATATCTACAGTCAGACTGACAAGGAATAATTTGACAATAACTTTCTTATGTTTTTACGATTAGTTTATTTTAATTAGTTAATGTTAGGAAATAGATGAGTGAGGGGAGGAAGGCCAACCACATCAATCTCTAGTCCGAACCACATTCTTCTCATTTTCTCGTCCGAACCACCTCAAATCCTCGTCCTTTCAATATTATTTTTTTAAGTGTCCGATCCTTGAAAATAAATACATTTTAAAAATATGGCGACGTTAGGGCATAGATGGAATATAAAATTTTCCCAATTAAATTTTAGATTTGTGTAAAAATGAAAATGCTCCATAAACGATGTTCTACAAAAAAGCGTCTGTATCAAGAGCCCTTTCTTTCGCGGAAAATGCCACAAAACATTCTCAAACTAGATCTAAACAACTTTTTGTAATATTCCAGCTGAATTTGGGTTTGAAATATGACTTAAAATTTTTATATGATTAAATACTGTTTGAATTCATAGGGTTGTGACCAATTAATTGTAGCAAATGATTTGAATAATATAAATTGAACATTATTTTTTCTATAATTTTAAGCATGCGGCAGGCAGAAATGATCTCCTAGTGGGGCCAACAAATCTACCTTATTTTAAATAAATCCGAAATCAATGATTATTTTGTATGGGTTGAAATGGAAAGATTAAAGACCATGTTCACGCGAATTCTTTGGTATAAATTTTTATTTGTGAAAGTTATCCATTTTGGAGGCAAAAGAGATTCAATTTTTATCCTAAATAATGTTTGACATCATTTTAAGATTCCAACATCTCAAAATCCTTGGAAAACTTTATTCTAGTCATGTTTTATGCCCTATCGTCGCCATATTTTTAAAAAATGTATTTATTTTCAAGGATCGGACACTTAAAAAAAATAATATTGAAAGGACGAGGATTTCGAGGTGGTTCAGACGAGAAAATGAGGAGAAAGTGGTTCGGACTAGAGATTGATGTGGTTGGCCTTCCTCCCCTCGATGAGTTTTATGGGAAGTTAGGTTAATTCTCAGGAAAAGTTGGGTTAGATTTTAGAAATAGGTTGGTTAAAGTTAAGAAATAGATAATTTAAAAAAAATTAATTTTTATTTATTATTTTCTCTTTGAAAACTTGAGGTATGTTCATAAATTTGCTTAAAATGTGTTGTTACTTCTAGATGTCTTAAAATGGATAAAGTAAATGTTTAAAAAATGTTAAACGAAACTTATTAAACATACCTTTTATAACTTTGAATTGTGGAATAAGTTTGTTTTCAGGGAGAGTTTAGTTAAATTTTAGTAACTAGGCTTTAAGGGCGCTTCGCGCCCATATTCTAATTCAATTGTGAGCATGTTTTGTTTGGAACAACTTCAAGCAAAAACAAAAAAATTACGCGGAATTTATAAAAATACTAGCTAAAGGGCTAAGTATTGCCAGTGGAAAAAAGAATTAAAATTTTTTTTGGAAAACTAAAAATGTTTTGAAAAAAATAATTTTGAATCTTTTTAGCCTTTCACACCCCCCGCCATATTCTATTTCAATTGTAAGCATGTTTTCTTTGTGTACAATTCAAAACAAAAACATACAAAATTTTGATGAATTTATAAAAAAAATTCAAAAATTGAATTTTGTGAGAGGCAGATTTTTGAAAATGCGACCATCCATAAACCTTCCCTGGGATCACGCAAGGTCCCACAAAAAATTTGGGCCCTCGGTTTTGACGTTTATTGGATACAAACAAACAAACAGACACCCAAACACCCAGTCAAGCAAAGTACATATAGCTTTGCTTTTAGGGCGCTTCGCGCCCATCATCTATTTCAATTGTGAACATTTTGTCTTTGTATACATTGTAAAACAAAACAAAAAACAAAAAATTTGACGGATTTTATAAAAATTTTTTGTAGATTTTTCAAAATTCTTTAAATTCGAATTTTTTTCGAAGCAAATTATTGAAAATTTAATTATTCATAAACGTTCCTTGGGCACGTGGATTTTATGGTTCTGCCAATATTCCAGAAAGCTGTGACTTTCAATCACATATTTGTCCCGTTAAACATAATTGTTTTGCCTTTTTTTAAAAATACTTTTTTGTCGCCATTTGCATTTTGAATGAAAAAGTATGAAAAAACAAATAGATGAAACCGAATACTGTTCACTCTGGTTAGTTCGGGGTGTGTTTAAAATTTGGGCCCGATCGGTTTAGCCGTTTTGACATTTATTGGACACAAACAAACAGACAAACAGACAGACAGACAAGCCAAATTTATAAAGAAGAAGATTGATTGGTTTATTTCTAAGAATAGACTAGTTTATATTTATTTGATACAGTTTAATCCAAAACTTTGGAGACATTGAAAGAATTTATACAATGTTGTAATTTATATATTGTTGTTTCTATACCTACTGATAATGGAATGCTGCAGATGTTTAGATTTAAATTATTTATTTATTTTTACAATTACTGAGATTTAGGTATAATTGTATAAAACCCATAGAAAAAGTGTAAATGCGACATTTTATAAATTCTTTTGATGTCTCCAAAATTCTGGGATAAAATGTAGTATTTTCTTTTCTAAATACTTTTGCATGTATTAAATTATGATTTATCTGCTAGACCTGTTATAACCATGTGTTGATGCAAATAAGGTATTTAATTTGTTTTATATTGTAAAATGGAAGCAAAAAATGTCTGAATTCCCCCCCTTGCCCTTGAATATAGGAATTGTATTATACATGGTTATCCAAAAAGTATGAAACCGTAAACTAGCTCCAGCTGTCAATATGACGATATTGTCTGAATTATATAATTAGAGTAAAACTATTTTTTATGTTACTTAAAATAAATTCATTTTTTACAGATCTTTGTAGTTAATGTAAAATAAATGACTATAATGAAGGATATAAAACAAGGTGAAAGCTGAAAGATATGAAATGAAGCCTTTACTTGATGGAGTTTGTAAATGCCAGAAATAAGTGGAAAATGCAAATCAAATCCAATTAAAACCAAAAATTTGATATACAGCATGATATTTTTCTAGGGGGGGGGTAAATAAATTCTGGGGGGGGGGGGTAAAAAAATTTAAATTAAAAAAATTTCCCCCCCCCTACAGAATCCTTATTTACGCCCCTGCCCCCCTCCCCCCTTGCCCTTTAATATAAAGATTGTATAATACATTGTTATCCAATATGACGATATTGTCTGAATTATAATCCTTTTCATGGCAAATATAATGATCAGGCAATGAACAAAACAAAAGTTAACTGTTGCGTGTAAATGAAAACAACAATAGGTAAAAGACAGTGTAAATTCAGTACAGTAGTCTCTGAATTCTCAATTTTTGTAAGTAACCCTGTATTTAAAAAGAATTTTTTGTAAACGATTCTATATTCCAAATTTATCAAACAGAAATATCAGTGTTTTGTTAAAAATTAATTTTGATAGAAATATTCACTATTGGTAAACTTCAATAATTTTTCTACAGAAATACTTTGAAGCAATCTGCAAGAGTTAAGTCTGGACAATATGGTCAGCTTAAATTAGAAATCGCAGTGGAAGAATTTCAGGTTAGGAATAAATTAACTTTTCCTCAATAAAGAAAAAATGCTAATATGTTAATTAAACTGAATTTCCGCCTTAAACTCTTAGACGCTTTCCCATATTATGGCAACCATACAGAATAAACGTTGAATATTTATTCTAGCAGATTCCTAATTTAAATTTCAATTAAAGGTCTACTAAATCAGGTTTCCAATTTATTATGATCAGAAAATTGGAGTTTTAAGCAAGAAATTTATTTAAGAGTTTTATAGTACAATGTGTCCCAATAAACAAGGGAATTAATGGGAATTATATCATCTTGGTCCATACGGGATTTTCGTTAACATAATTGTGTAGTATCTGCACAGTTAAAACATTTAACACCGAAAACTACTAGTCTCGGGATTTCCAAAATGTGGTCTTCAATATTATTACCTTAATAATAAACGAAGATATTAGTAAATTTTCCCAGATTCTAGTTTATTGAAAATCAACAAAATTGTTCAAAAATTGAATATCTCCGTCAATTTTAAAGATACAAAGGAAGTACACCTTATTTTGGAAAGCTCATTAGCCGTCCGATCTCTTTTTAATGCATTTTATATCATTTATCAATTATCGGATATTCAAGCTGTCTCTCAATTCCTATGTTTATTGGGACACCCTGTACATCCAAGCCATACCTTTAGAATACCTGTAATGTTTTACAGAGCTATACTACAACATTCCTATACTTGATTAAAAGATAAATTTGTGTAGATTAAAAAATTTCAAATTACATAAATCGATGTGAAATTGATGCGGTTGCCACCCTTCCTCTAGATTTAATATGTATAAATTTCAGATTGCATCAGTGCTGAAAGCTTTGGAAGCAATTGGGTTAAGCAATTCTTTGTTTAAAGTGAATAGTATGAATCGAACCTATGACACACAATATGTTTGTAAACTTGCAGTTTAGTTTAAATAGAATATATTATTTTTAATAAATCTATTGTCACACGTAATTTTATATCGACTAGTTTGGGAACCTTAATCAACCCATTCAATTAGAAATTTGTGAATCCCGTGGTTCTACTTAGTTAAATCAAAATTTAAGGCAAATCGGTCCAGAGGTTTCGGAGTTATGATCTGACATGCAAACAGAGATTACTACTATATATATTACTAGCTGATGGTCCTGGCGTTGTCTGTGGAAAAAATTTTTTTGAAAATTTTGAAAAATTTTTTTTTAAAATTTTGAAAAAAAAATATTTTTAGATAAATCATTTAGAAAAATATTTTTTTTTAATTTTTAGCCTATATCACCCCCCGGCTACCTATGAGTGTTCACAACAAATTTCAGACCAAACGGTCCAGCCGTTTGGACGGCTACACACAACATATATTTGAATCATGTGGATTTAACGGTTCTGTCAATATTCCTGAAAGCTGTTAACCTTTTTTCTTAAAACTTTATTGTTGGCATAGAATTTTGAATAAAAATGAATAAAATAAACAAATCCGTAAAGTAAATGATTATTTAATTAAAGACCAAAACACGTTTGATTTCAAATAGAAGAAACCGAATGCTGCTCACTCTGGTTAGTCCGGGGTGTCGAATGTCTTGTTTGATTATATAGACAGATAGATATAGATTATTATAGTTGGACCCACACACCGTGGGCCGGAATCAAGACAACCGTTGGTCTAAGATGATACAGGCCTGAAAGAAACAAGAGTTTTGCCGAATTTCAGGCTCCTAGGTCTAAAACCGTGACTGAAATTTATATTTAGCCTTCCAAGAACCCAAAAAATTCAATAAAAAATAATAACGAATACATCGAAAGAATTCATCAAATGTTGTATTCTTCACTTTCTGATAATGGACTGTTGCAGATATTTAGTTTTTTAATTAAATGATTATATGGAACTATTTTCACAAATACTGTAATTTACGTAATATAGTATTAAACTCATTGAAAAATTGTCAAGACGACATCTTTCAATGTATCCGTTATTAAGGGTTTCACTGTATCTTAAAATGCACCTGAAGCCGGTGAATAATGCACATTTGTTTTTGTTCCGATATTTTCAAAATTGTTTGATATATTGACAAAAAAAACGATATTTTTGGTCGGATTTTTACGATTTGAAAATTTCTGAATTTATTGTTTAAATACGAATCTTTTAGTACCCATATTTGTGAATTATTCAGCCTTAAATTTTTTAAAAACTGGTTTCCGGTTAGAAATTTCAGCTTGTGAAGACTAATCCTATGCACATAGAGGGGAGTGCAGTGGTAAATATTGATCATCCCTAGTCTAGACACTTGTAATTGTTAATCATTTAATTTCTTTTAACTTTTTTTATTTGAAAATTATCCATATTTAATTATCAGACGTTGTAAAAAATTTTTGAAAAAAATTCTGTGTATATTTTGTAGTTTTTTGGTAATTTTAGAGATAAACACACAAATTACTCTGCCATCGATAATCAGACAAAGCATTTTCTTTTTTATTATTTGCATGAAAATTTACTGAACAAGTGTAAAATTATTAGAAAATACAATAATGAAACACAGTAACATTAACATCAAAATATGTCAGTATTCTTTACTCATGACTAACATATCACCCATGACTTAAAACTATATTTTGGCCTGATCTCGATGTTTTATATCAACTCTTTCAATCAAAGCAGTGCCCGAAAATGGCGATTTTTTTTTAAATGACTTCATATTTCCTTTTAAGTTTATTTTTCTATACACTCCTCAGAAAAGCTCTTTCAGAGAAATCTCCTTCAAATTCTCTCCTAATATTTATTTAAAAATTTTACGAATATCAAAATTTCACACTCATTTATTTAAATTTGTATTAATGAGTTACTACCTGATTATTGCCAATAGCGGTTGCCTTTCTTTGAAACGTGAAATATCTAAAAAAAAATTGAAAGATAGCAAAAAGGAACAGAGTAAATCAACAAAATCAAATTTTTACATTCCCAAATCCACATATCTGCAATCTGGTTCCATAAACATTTGATTTTTCAAACTTAAACTATTCAAAGTAACAGAATTTATTAAAATATAAAGGTCACAAAATCAGGTTGAAAAGATATAGAGATTCAAAACTTTGACTAATCGGAGAGAGTTCAATTCCTTAATTAGTCAAACATTGTTTGAATAATTTATCCTTAATTCAGTTAACTGCTATAATTTACAAACATCAATGAAAGGGTGGATTTTTGATGCAGGCATCAAAGGAACTGATTGCTAGTCACAAAATTTACTTTTTCTTGCCATTACGATATTTTAACTTGGAAGTTATTTGGTCAGTGGTCTCAATTATTTCCGAAAAATTTTCCATTTTGTAAATTGGAAAATTCTGGTTTCCATTCCATAAACAGTAATATTTCCAGCTTCCATTCCGCTGCGGGAAACAAAATAGAAATTCATTTCAGTAAACCTGAAAACTTCCTATTTAAATTTTTATTGTATTGAATCATACTGAAGTATTCATGAGATGCAGGGCTTATACAGCGAAGGGGGTCTTAACCTAACAAAAGTTTCATATGTTTTTAATGTTATTTTCGGAAACGTGTTCTGGAAATGTTTGGAATAACGTTCTGGAATATTCAGGAACAATTTGAAACAGAATTTTCTGGAACGATATTCCGGAAAAACGTTATACGAAATGTTTATCCTAGAATTATTTTGTAATGTTCCAGAATTCTGGAAAAAGGTGCATGAAATTTCCGGTTTACGGGGGGGAGGAGGTGGAGCGACGGGAATTCAGAATTTTTTTTCCATATTGGAAATGGAAGCAAATACAGGATCATTTATGAATGTAAACTGGAATTCTTGTGGAAACCAAATCCTTCAATTGTGAGTTATTTTTGTAAATCAAAAAGTAAAAGCTTGAATTATCAAAGATTTTGCTCATCTGATTGAAATTTTGAAAATTTTGGGAATGCTCTCGAAAAATGAAATGACTTGAATGCTTCAGAAAGTTGCAATATTCAAGTCGGAACGTAAAAATCAATTTAAATACAAACAAATCCTTAATTTAAATATAACAGCCTGTAATCAAAATATTATTAAATATCAACTTTATAGGAATGCGTCGAAAAAGTCAATGATTATAGGTTGTAATATCAGAATGATTTGTTTGAAATTAAGTTGAACAATCCGAGTTAAATTGTAAAACGTTCTGAATTTGTAACGACGCTATGGTTCTATGGTATGAGTCGTTTTTAAAAATTTTCTCCTTATAGACGCAACAAATTAGTAGCAAACTGCACCATTGAATATTTTTCGACTCTTTCATTTTCGCAAACACTCCCTTTAAAAGAGGTATAATTTTTGTTTGTTTGAACCTTTTGTTCCAGATCTTTTCCCTAAACCCATCATCATTCCTGAAATATTTTTTTCTACGTATTTATTAAAATAATAAAAAAAATTCAAATTTGCAAAAACGAATCACCTGTTTCTGATATATGGTATGGATTTGCGACCAATCCGATATCTCTCCTGGTAAAAGTTAAGAATGTTGTTATAAACTATTTATTTTTTGCTTTTTAAATGTGGTTTTGTGACAGTGGAATAGTATCGGAGTGGAATCAAGAAAAACAAAAGGACTTCCCAAAAAAATTAGTCATCATTTTTTACATAGAGATTTAAAAAGTTTTGCTAAAAAAGTCAATAGAAAGTTGTAAGACCGAAAAAAAATATTTTCAAAACATCTTGATTTGGGTATCAAAACATGTGTCTCAAACCGCTGAATACTGTCCACAATTTAGTTTCTGATAAATTAAATTGTCTGATTTATGACCAAAAAATTGGTTTAATAATTAACAAAATCATTTGAAGTCAATTTTTCTGAATTCACGTTTTAAGGCAAATCTTTTGACACCAATATTGATATATTTTAACGACATTTTTTTTCGCTGACTTTTTTGCGAAATTTGCCGTGAGAAAAGTGTACGTGCGCAAAAAAGATCTGGACCTAACAGAGGGTTCATAATAGTTCTGACAAAATTTGCCAACTGCCCCTAAAGGTCGCCAATGAAAAAGTAGGTAAATCGACCAACCCTAATCTATAACCCTACTTGTTGAAGGGAGGTGAGGTAGTAATAATTTGAACTTATCTTTTTTGAGAGGGTTCGAGAAAAAGAAGTGTTTTCGGAAAAAATACTTAGAACCAGAAGAGTTTTAGATAATTTTTTGCCCGAAAAGTATTATTAACACTAAACCAAAATAAATCAATATACATGGAAAAGTACAGATTTATCATTATCAAGTGCAGATTCGGATTTTCCGTATCCAAGACTACGGATCCAATATTTTATTGTTAAACCCAACAGAAAATATGAAGAAAATTTGGAATATGTGGGTTTCAGGATATGTTCACTATATATTGAAAAGAGACTACCTAGCCAGCTAGGGCATAAAAACTTCTTTTAAAAACCTATCTAAAAAGAAAGAATAAGAACAAAAAAACGGTGATGTTCCACATGGTTCATCCTACAGTCATAGCTAGAAAACTTTAGAATAGGAAGACGACATTATAGCATTTCTGAAGTGCATTTGATGTTGTTTAAAGCAAATAGCTTTACTTGAAAGATATCAAATTACTTATTAAGTAAAATGGGTCTCATGTGCAATGCGCTATTAAAAGTCATAACTTGAGTTTAAAAGTTGACTTCCTATTCCAGAGTTTTCTGGTTATCGCTGTATGCATTCAACCTTTTATGAATTTAATCAATTCAAAAATATGTGAATGAAATATCGATAATTTACTTAATAATAAAAGTTTACCTCTTAACGCCAGGTTTACACTTGGAATCGGAAATTGAACAAAAAAGTAGAAGAACCAGTAATAAATAATACATTTTAACTCTAAAACTGATCCCTAAATTTATCTTATGATACCTAAAAGCTTGTTTTGACTGGGCCAGTTTATTATCCTGCCTATTCCTCTGTATAACCCCAACTTGTCCATTTTATTAACCCAACCATGGTTCACTTTATAAACCCAGCCATATTCCCTTTATAAACCCAGCCATAGTTATTTTTATAAACCCAACGATGCTTCACTTTATAAACCCAGCCATAGTTATTTTATAAACCCAACCATGGTTCACTTTATAAACGACCAGCCATAGATATATTTATAAACCCAACCATGGTCCACTTTATAAACCCAGCCATGGTCTACTTTATAAACCCAACCATGGTTCACTTTATAAACCAAGCCATAGTTATATTTATAAACCCAACCATGGTTCACTTTATAAACCCAGCCGTGGTTCACTTTATAAACCCAACCATGGTTCACTTTATAACCCCAGCCATATTCCCTTTATAAACCCAGCCACGGTCTACTTTATAAACCCAGCCATGGTCCACTTTATAAACCAAGCCATGGTTCACTTTATAAACCCAGCCATGGTTCACTTTATAAACTCAACCATGGTCCAGATTATAATCCCAACCATGATCCACTTTATTAACTTAACCATGGTCCACTTTATTAACTCAACCATGGTTCCCTTTAAGAACTTAACCATGGTTTACTTTATTATCCCAACCATGGTCCACTTTATGATACAAAGCATAGTCTACTTTTTGAATCGAACAATGGTACTCTGAATGATTCCAACCATGGTCCAATTTATGAACCCAACCATTGTCCACTTTATGATTCCAACCATGGTCCACTTTATGAACCCAACCATTGTCCACTTTATGATTCCAACCATGGCCCACCTTATAAACCCAACCGTGGCCCACTCTATGATCCCTATCAGGGTCCACTTTATTAATCCAACCATGGTCCACATTATGATCCCAACCATGGTCCACCTTACGATCCAAACCATGGTCCACTTTATGAATCGAACCATGGTCCTCTGTATGAATTCAACCATGGTCCATATCATGATCCCAACTATGGTTCACATAATGAATGTTTCTATGGTCCACTTTGATAATCTCACCCCCTATGTTTAGAATCAATACTAAAGAAGTTATCTGGTCGCAAAGTTGTGCCAATAATGTGTTAAATACAATGTAGAGATATATTATAAGTTAGGATGAGAAACTGTCTAAGATAATTTGAACAATTTTCACAGAAAAAAAACCGTTTAATGTTAATTTAATAAAAATATGTCAACCTATTTCTCCTCTGAAGGATTTTATAAAATAACTCTTCATAAGAATTCGTTAAGCTTTTATAAAATTTTATCATGCAATTATATTTTACAAGATAATGATGGGCTTCGTTTCAATAAGAAATATAATCTAATTAAAGCAATATCGTCGAACTACATTATTAGTTGATATGCAAAAAAACTTGATTTTGCCACAAAATTAAATTTTCTACTAATATTATCTTTGCAACATAATGGTGTAAATCATTGATATTTCAAACTTAGCTTATTTGATCTTCATGAATTTGTAGATTAAAATACCAAAGGTCTACGCATCGGGTTCCACAGAAATACAGAGAAAAAAAATGGTGGTAAAACTATAATTTCCCTTAGGTTCAAATCAGTTTAAGAATTGAATGTGTTAGATAGAAAGGCCCGTTTTTCCGCGACAATTTTCTAAATAATTTGCAAAAAATATGCACATTCCTACAGGATGTTTCTCAATATGGAAAATGAAACATCATTGTTGTAAAATTAAATAAAAATGTCAAACAAGCTGTTTTATGAGAAAATAACAAGAATAGAAAATGTAGAAAAAAAAACTTGGAGAAATATAGACAATTTTGGCACTGCTTTGATTTAAAGAGTTTAATTAAAAAATGCGAGATCAGGCCAAATTACACTTTTAACTTCAGTCATGGGTGACATGTGAGTCATGAGTAAAGAATACTGACATATTTTGATGTTAAAGTTTTATTGTTGTATTTTCTAATAATTTTACACTCGTTCAGTAAATTTTCAAGCTAATAATAAGAAAGAAAATGTTGTAGACGCAGGCACAAAAAATACTCCCGAATCTATTTAAACTGCATGTAAGAATACTTTCTTAAGTCAAACAGGCGCATGCCTGATAATTAAACTTTGTCTGATTATCGATGGCAAAGTAATTTGTGTGTTTATCTCTAAAATTATCTAAAAACTGCAGAATGTACACAAAAGTATTTTACAAAAATTTCCTACAACGTCTAGAAATTACAAATGAAAAATTGTTTCCACTGCATGCTCCCCTCTATGTGCAAAGGATTAGTCTTGGCAAGTTTAAATTTCCAACCGGAAACCAGTTTTTATTAAATTTAAGGCTGAATAATTCACAATAATAGGTACCAGAAGATTCGTATTTAAACAATAAATTCAGAAATTTTCAAATCATAAAAATCCAACCAAAGAAATATCAGTTTTTTGTCAATATATTAAGCATATATTAATATATATTAATATATTAAACAATTTTGAAAATATCGAAACAAAAACAAATGTGCATTATTGACTGGCTCCGGGTGCATTATAAGATACCAAATTCGACTTTTTTTACCTGTAACTTTTTGGGTTCTTGGAATACTAAATATCATTTGCAGTCACGGTTTTAGACCTAGGAGCCTGAAATTCGGCAAAACTCTTGTTTCTTTCAGGCCTGTATCATCTTAGAGGGGGGTGGGAGGGTTTTTACGGCAAAAATCACTTGTAAAAATAAAAGTCTAATGCTTAAATTTAACACAAATTGTGAAATGACAAACTTGTTATGGTCCAAACTTCTGTACTTTAAATTACTTTATGAAACTTTATGTACTTAAATTTTCTCTATATCTCAAAGGCTAAAACCTTCTAAATAAAGAGAAAATTTCTGTCCAAAAAGTTTATAACACTGCGAACCAAAATATCAGTGTTATAATATAGTTAATAAAAGAAACTATNACATTAACTACAAAGTTTTGACTTCATGCTTTCTTTCAAAGCTTTTTTGATCTAGAAATAGCCATTGAAATAAGACAAAAATACACACTACACAAATGTTTTATAAAATTACCTATAACACTATTATTTTGGCACGACATGCAATAACATTTTTGGACTTAAATTTTCTCTATATCTCGAAAATAACAATGTTATAAATAGTTATTAAAAGGAACTATAATAAATCTCCATGGATTTTGATAAATTAAATTAGTTAGAATTGTTATTATCTCAGGTATGCACAATCAGGTTGAAAAGATTTGTGTCAAGCAATTCGCTCCTTATAAGGTTAAAATCAAATTGGTAAATTCCCATTTAAGGCAGGACCCATAAAACTATATGAAGACGACATCAAAGCAGTTATATGTTTATTTGATGTGACAAGGATAATAGTTTACCAGCAGCTTGAAAATTAACTAATTAAATGAGCCTGTGTGCACCGCACAATTTATGACATTTATCCTCATTGGACAATTTAAAGTCATAATTTGATTCCAACTGTTGTCTTAAAATCCGGCCCACGGGGTCCAACTATTAAAATCTATATCTATCTACTCTATCTATATAATAAAACAAGACATTCATATATATGTTCCCTATAGCTGGCCAAACGACTGGACCGATTGGGTAGCCTGGAGGTGTTATAGGCTAAAAATTAAAAAAAAAAAACTCTGAATCGATTTTCCTTAAATTTTGATTTAACTAAGTAGAACCACGGGATTCAAAAATTTCTAATTGAATGGGTTGATTTGGGTCCAAAACTATAGTTGATATAAAATTACGTTAGTAACAATAGATTTATTAAAAATAATATATTCTATTAAAACTAAACTGCAAGTTTACAAACATATTGTGTGTCATAGGTTCGATTCATACTATTCACTTTAAACAAAGAATTGCTTAACCCAATTGCTTCCAAAGCTTTCAGCACTGATGCAATCTGAAATTTATACATATTAAATCTAGAGGAAGGGTGGCAACCGCATCAATGTTGTAGTATAGCTCTGTAATCTATGTTTATTTATTTATCTATGGTCTGTCTGGGTGTCTGTTTGTTTGTATCCAATAAACGTCAAAACGGCTGAACCGATCGGGGCCCAAATTTTTTTGTGGGACATCACGTGAACACAGGGAAGGTTTATGAATGATCGAAATTTCAAATTTTGCCTCTAACAAAATTCGAATTTTGACAATTTTGAAAATCCACGAATTTTTTTTATTTTTATAAAATCCGTAAAATTTTTTTGTTTTTGTTTTATAATGGATACTAAAGAAAATGTTTACAATTAAAATAGAAGATGGGCGCGAAGCGCCCTAAAAATTTAGTCTATATAAATTTGGCTTGTCTGTCTGTTTGTTTGTATCTAATAAACGTCAAAAGGCTGAATCGATCGGGCCCAAATTTGAAACTGAACTTAATTTGATCCCAAGGAAGGTTCATGAAAAATCGAATTTTCAAAAATTTGCTACGACTTTTTTTTATAAAATCCGCGAATTTTTGTTTGTTTTTGTTTTACAATGTATACAAAGACAAAATGTTCACAATTGAAATAGCTGATAGCAAAGTTATATATACTTTGCTTGTCTGGGTGTCTGTTTGTTTGTTTGTATCCAATAAACGTCACAAGGACTGAACCGATCGGGCCCAATTTGGTTGTAGGACCTCTGGTGAACCCAGGAAAGGTTTATGGAGGATTGCATTTTCAAAAATCTGCCACTAACAAAATTAGATTTTTAAAATCTATATAATAAAACAAGACATTCGTATATATGTTACGTTTAGCCGGCCAAACGGCTGGACCGATTGGACTGAAATTTCATGGGTGGTCGGGGGTTGTTATAAGGCTAACAAAAATTCAAAATTTTGTTTTTCAAAATTTTTTTTCTTTCAAATAATTTTTTTCAATTTCTTTCCATGGGCAAAGCAATTTACTAACCTTTTTCTTAAAATTAACATTTCAATTCATCAAAATCAGCGAATCTTTTCCCAAAAACTAACTAACCAATCTTAAAAAACTAATCATTTCTAAACATAAGAAAGTTATTGTCAAATTATTCCTTGTCGGTCTGACTGTAGATATCAATACTGTTTCTTAACTGAAATTTAAAATTATTTATGAATCAAAACTATCATAATTGTATTTCATTTTTAATTATAAAAAAATATTGTAAATATTAGATATACAGATAATGAAATGGATTGTCACGATGTTTTATAAAAAACATAAGTCTTTGTAAACCTTTTTTTACACCAAATACTTTTTTATATTATTTTTCATTTACATTGTTAACACGAATTCCAATTAGTTAATTGAAGATCTCTACCTCTCTACTCTTTTCAGAATTTAATTCTAAATTTTAAACTTACCCCACAGTGAGAAGGGAACGGCATGGTTAAAATACTTAAAGAGTTTGGATTATCTTTATCTCCTTCAACAACTGCCTAATAATCAAAAATAAATCAAAGATCGAATTTTAAGAAATTGACCTGCGTCGCTGAAACGTCAATAATCCGTCCCATTAAGCACCGCCGGCTCAAATCTCGAAATATTTATCAAAATTGCCAGCTAAACCAATCATGGTCGATTTGTGTCTCTTGTTTAAATTCGGCCTCAGGATGTGAATAAATAGTTAAATGTCATTATAACGCAAAAAGAAATTGAGTTTTTGCCACAAACTCAAATTTTAAAATAGTCCATATAACTGAAATAACCCTGTGATATTTCAAACTAAGATTCTACCAGAATTCAAAGTTTGAAATATCTAAACTCTGCAGGGTTGAGATGCAAAGATAAAAGAATATGGCAAAAACTCAGTTTCTTTGCGATTTTAACACAATATCTCAATGTCAACCACCTGAGTATGCCGGTTCTATAGATAATAAAAAAACGCGCAGCGTTTTGCACATTTGCATAGCTTGTCATTATAGCTTAAATTGGATATTCTAACCATCTTGATGTTTCTCAATCTCTGCATCTTCGTAAACACGTATTTTGAATTCGATTGTCTGGCACTGATGTTAACAAAATACTAAAATCTAACCATTAAATCCTTTCTCAATACAAACTTCAGATCAGATTCTGTTTCAACCAGCACTGGAATCCAGTTTGTCAGCATAAGGTTGTTCTGAGAACAGATTTTATTAATAGCTAGACGTAATTCAACTTTTTAGATATAGATCAGCTATGTAGACGTAGTTTAACTACGTATTAAAACTACGTAGACGTAGTTTAACTACGTATTTAAACTATCTAGATGTAGTTCAACTACCTAGACCACAACTATACTAATGCCGGATCAATTTGAAAAAATGGGCTTTGTTTACATTATGATTTTACAATTGTTTGGTTTGGAAAAATAGTTGTTATACCTACGATAAGTTGGTCCGATGCATTAAGATGTCATAGTATCAGTCCCACTTTCTATTCAACTATCTTTCTATTGCCCCTACAGCCCTAAGTAGCTAAGTCTATGTAGTTGAATTAAGTCCCACTATTCATAAAAGTCTGGTCCCTGTTGAAGTTTTGTAAAAGCTCCATTCTCCAGGATAGTTTTGAGCTCAGGCTTGGTGAGCTCCTCACAGGGATTTTTCTCCAAACCAGGGAGTTCTGGAAACTATAGAAACATAGAAAGGAACTGATTACTTACCTCAAACTCATTTATATATCTTTGAAACCTGATAGTGTATACCTTTGATATTTTTAGCTCGATTTTTCGATCTTGCAGAAATCTATAGTCTGAATTATCTAAGGTTTCTATTGGGTTGGAAAGATATGATTTTGAACATAATCATCATTTTACTTAGATCCCCCCCCCCCTAACCATATATAATACATATTTTGTATGCCCTAAAAAATAAATAAGCAATAAAAATACCTTAAAGGTGTTAAGGTTTATTTGAACACCAACAACTGTTTTCTTTATCATTACTTCTCCGAACTGTAAAAAAATCAAGAGAAAAATTATGCAATTAAGTAATGTCGTAAACTGCAATAGTACAAACTCATTTTTAGATCAAACATAAGAGGGTTACCTTCAAAGGATGATGACCTAAAAATCTTTAAATATTAAAAATCTGAAGGTTTATTAAGTCTTTATAAGTGTGCTAATTGATTGGCAAAGAAAAGGTAATAGTTTAAAGTTACATGTCACTATTAAAGTAAGAAAAAAAACTGATCAAATTTTGTTCAGTGCAGTCTCTGAAGTCTCATCCTTAGTTGGTAAACCTGTATCTGGATTATTAGAAACTAGATTTATCAAAACAATTAAAAGATAAAAACAAAGGTCAGAGCTTGTTTTGAAATCAGTTCTAAATCTAGTACGTCTTAGTAGTATATATAGAAACCATACCTTGCTTGTCTAATGTCATACCTTTGCCAAGGGTCCACTAAATGCTTCATCTGGAAGTTCAATATCAGGGATTGCTTAAAAAAAATCAGTTTTGTCATATTTTACAAAATATTTATAAAATGGCAATTTTATAACTTGTCTAGTGCTGGGCAAAGTTCCTTTAACAAAATGGAGGTTTTTGAAAACTAACAAAAAAGTCCATTAAGGAACGGCAAAACTCGTCAATTTTTAAATCGTTAACAAAATGGATTACCAGTTTAAGAGAAAATTCACGGTTGAAAACAAAAAGAAATGGATGGATTTTTTGAAAAACGCCAATTTTTGTTCTTTTTTCTGCTTGGAGTTTTGACAAACCGTTAACGCCGTTAAAACTACAAACTTGCGTCTTTAATTAAAAAAACGTTAATAAAATTGTTTAACTAACAGTAACTATAAAAAAACGGAAATTACTGTCAACGAAATGGATGTTCCACTTTTACCTTTAAACATTTAACGGCTACATGAATTTTTTTGACGGTTGGAACTAATAAACGTTAATGAAACTGCTTGAGAAAGTTGGAACGTGCTCAGCTGGCCCTAGACTTGTCAAGGAATCTTGAAAATCATTTGTTTAAAACATTTGTTCCATAAGTGTAACTGTATATGTTCCCTTAGTATTTAAATCTCAAAATTGTTTAAATTTATAGATTCTAAAGATCTTCAAGAAGTTTCAGCATTAATTTAACCAACAACTGTTCCATAGTAAGGGCCTGATATTGGAATCTATTTTTAAATAATCAGTTTCTGGATTATTTGAAGGCCCTTATTAGATTCTGAGATGTTTTTTTTTTACTTTCAAAATTTTATGCTGCTGGAAAAGTATTATGAACTGTATGTGCACAATTTTTATCACTGACCAAGGATATTAACCAATTGATGTTTTTCTATTAAAGATTTGTTGTCCCAAGAAAAAGATCGAGTTGTCAAATCTCGAATTTTTTCTCTTAAGAAAGTTTGGTGTAGGTTTTATTTTATTGATCTACCAGGGGTTGTAATCTGGCAGTACATCCATCCATCCACACTTCATTCATACTTAAAAGAAGGCTGACAAGGATCCAGCTTCTTAAGAGCTTCTTTGGGCCGAGAATAGTAGAGTGCAGAAATTCTTCTGATACACTGGATTGAGGCCCTGTGCCTTACAGACAGGAAACATCACCCTCATTGATCCCAATCATGAAAGCCCAGATTGAACAGGTATCTGTGTAGCTGGAAACCATCGACTCTCCCTGCTTAGTCAGGAGGTCATAACTGCTTAACCAGATGTTGGCATCAGATGTTTTTAAAACCACAGGTTTGTGTGGAGTGCGAGAATCCCGTGAACACCAGTCTTGATATATCCAATCCAGTTATTTGCTGTGGGCAAGTGTGCTTAACTTCAGTGATCTGATTTCATAAACCACTTTAAAAAGCCTTTTGATATAATATCTTTAGTCACAGATAAAATTAGACATAATTTTAAAAAAGCAAACTTACAGAAAATACAATTTTTCTACATTTTGGTTAAATGTCTCAGATTCTTGTAGATCCAGGTAAGGTCAAATATCATGTTTAAGAACGGAGCAAAAATAATGTACTCTAAAAATTCAAAATGACGAAATAGCTTACTTTGCCGCAAAATGTTGATGATGGTAAATAAGCGACAAAAATTTGCTTGTATTTAACAAAAAATTGCTTATTTGGCAGCAAAAATTCCAGGCCTTTTTAGTGTTAAATGTAAGCGATTTCATTTCGCTTATTTGGCAGCCTTCGATTTTTTTATGTCATGTTAGCGATTTTTTTGGCCTCAAATATTAAATTAAACCTTAAATATTATGTTCACCTGAAAGAGTGAATTCAACTTGCTGATCTAATAAATACTTTCTTTGAAGATCAAACATTACCCTAGAATTAAAAATGAAAATGTTGATTTGATTTCAAAATTTTTTTAATCTTTTATTTCATTATGTTTTTCATTTTTGGTTAAACCTTTCTCAAGAGTTTTTTTTAAATTTTTTGTTGATTTTTCATTTTAAAGTAGTCTTATTGCTTATTCAGTGTCCGAATTTAATGAATTTAAGCCGCGTCTCAAATCCGCCAAAAACCGGTTTTAATTAAGCGCCAGCTTAAATCTCGAAACATTGAATACAATTTTAAGTGGAACAACCATATTTGAGTCGCGGCTTAAATCAAAGCCTTGGCTCAAATTCTTAAAATTCGGCCTCAGTAAAGGAAGGGAAAATATTAACAGAATTTTTCAGAATCGTTAAATAAGGATCTTATCATTAATCGTTGGTTTGAAGGGGAAATATAAGTTGCCATACAACTGTGGAATAAAAAGACACTTTATGCGTTTTGTCGTTGTGTTGTGTTGCCTTTAATTAAAATTTAGTTTTACAACATTTTCTAAATATTTTTGAAAATTTGAATTCGCCATGGTAAGTGCTTTTCAAAAATGTATAATTTATCCTATTTCGCGCACTTTTTGTTTGCACATTTTTTGCTTAATAAATTGATATTGCAGACTATAATGGGTAAACCAGACGTCAGCCTGAAGAGGCTTAAGCAATGTTTATACCTGCTTAGACCTTGGCCTCTGAGCTCCTTCCTAAGCCTATAAGCAAACCGTGCAGCTGTTTTCCCTCCGTTTTGAAAATAGAAGGATTCAAATCCTATAATCTTTTTGCCATGCAGGAATACGACATTTTTTCTGCTAGAACCATCTTTTTTTAAAACAAAAATGAATTGATCCCAATCAAGTTTTCTTCTGTTTTATTTAGGCATGGAATAATGTACAGGGTTACCAGAAAGGATGATACTTCAGAGAGGACTGTACAGAATTTATGTATACAGTTTTGGTTCGCAGGAGCTGGAAACATGTTTCATTTAGCAGTCATTAAATGATGATTTTCAGAGGATAAAACCCAAATTAACCGGTTATAATAGATATATTTGATACATTTGTGAATGTCATTAAAGTCTGAGATCCTTTGTTGGTAACCCTGTTTATCACGCGTTTTAAACTTATTAGATGTTTTAGAGCCTTGGTTTATAAAATATCAAAGCATTTATGTTTTCCTTCGCTTGCTTCCTAAAAATGAGAGTATTTAATAGTTAAAATACTTAATATTATTATCAATATCTACATGTTGTTATAATGTTATTATTATTTTTAAATAAGAGAATAAACAATTTATATTTTAGAAAAACCTAAATATTTAATTATAACATTCAAATAAACGCATATCTTTAAATCTTTATTGTTATGTAATACTAATTATTATTATTTTTTTATATATTATATAAAGATTTACACGCAAAGGTAATATCTACTTATACTCAATTTTTATCATCATTATCATCATTATTATTTTCATTATTATTATCATTATTCTTCTTCTTCTTATTAATATTATTATTTTTATTATTGTTATTATTATTTTATTATTATTATATTTTCCTTCTATTCTGAACTTTAAGGCGTGTTACAACAAGTAACACCACTGAAAACTCCGGCCCCGGTTTAATTGAAGAATTTTACCGTCTTTTTATTGTACATCACAGTGAGCCAAAGGTTGCAAGTTATTATTTTTAAATCGTTGAGAGTTTTGCCAATTACTTCATAAATACTAAAGCTACAGCTCAAGTGCTACATAGTTCAAATATGTCTATGGCTAGAAAAAAAGTATAAGTGAGCTAGTGAGGTAATATCAAAGGCCAAGGGGTTCCGAAGACGTTGCAACACTTTAAAGTCGATCAAATAGTAACGTTTTTCATAGCAATCTGGATCTGTGTGTATACAGTATTCTAACACAGAGTAAAGACGACAAATCGTGACATTACACCAAAAATCATGCCCTTATATGAAGATTACTGCAGACATCACTGACATAAAACAAAGGTGGCTATCGAAAAGATTATTTAGATTTTTCTATACGTACCTCATCTTGATCTCCAAAATCATTTTTAAATATACTTTTAACTAGTTCTGAAACATTATTTTTGAAATGATTTATTTTTAAGGCAAACTTTTCATTTTAAAAGTATTAACAAACATTATATTCTATAGCTATGAAACCTGATGGTTTAACCCTTTGATGTGTCTTAAACTTTTAAGCTTTAATTCTAAATATTAAAGGGAGTGTTCACAAAAAAATGAAGGGGGTACAGGCTTACGGCGAAAGATAAGCGCTTTTTAACGCTACTAATCGTACTTCTATCTGTTGCGTCTCTGAGGAAAAAATTATTAAAAACGACTCATTTTCGACGCATTCGTATATAGTTGATATTTCATAATATTTTTGATTATGTTTTTTAAAATAATATTTCGCTGGCACTGGATTTTCGAACACTCCTGGAAAATATGAAAATGTCGTCTTCATTTTCAAAAATCTTCGAAACACGAATAAATATTTTCAAATCAGATCATAAAGATAAAAAATATTATGAAATATCAACTATAAATACGATAAGATTAGTAGCGATCAAAAGCGCTTATTTTTCGCCGTAAGTTTTGAAATGTATATGTCTGATATATAGGTACAATACTATAAAACTCATTGAAAAATTGTCAAGACGACATTTTATAATTTCTACCGATGGCTCAAAAGTTCTGGATTAAACTGCATGCTAGACAATTAAGAATATTGCTTCATTGCAAATAACTGTAATCTTCTAATTTCTATAAAGACACATCTCAGATTAAACTATTTATAAATGATTTCAAAACTTGTTTCTGATTTAAATATGTATACTAACATATGTAAATCATTCAAAATTATTCAAGATAGCCTAAAAACTCTAATTTTAAATGATTTTTCTTATTTTCTAAAATTGTAACATAATATATAGTTCTTTGCATCAAAAATACATTTCCCAAAGTACCAATAGAATAATTAAACCAAAAAAATCGATAAGCATGAGGCCAATTCAAAAATAATGTATGTTTTAAATAACTTTTATGATTTAGATATTTTAATAATTTTTAGGGTGATTGAAAGAAACGGTGGATGACAGGGGGGTAGGGGGATTTTGAGCAGAGAGAGGATAATCTGATGAAAGAGACGGAGAGGGGGGGGGATGAATTTTAAAATTAGTATGCATGTCTAATGATTACTGCTCTAATTCAATAAACATCTGACATATCATGTCAAATGTAAAAATTTCAAAGCATTAACTGTCTCTTTCAACATTTTGTAATATTTCAACGAAATTCAATAATTAATTAATTAATATTTTACTGGAAAAAAAACACTATTTTTCAACGTGAAACATGACATTAACGTCTTCACAAAATGATTCTTTTTAAGCTCCTTAATCACTTTTGTTCAATCTTTGTGATGAAATATTTATTTTCCTTTTCTTATTTTAACCCTCTGTGAGGAAATACAACAACTTTGTACAACCTTTTATACATTTACTAGACATTTTTAGCTTTAACTGTAGCCCTGATAGTCGGCCATTTTACGTCATTTTTAAATTTTGGCGGATTGTCCTTTTTGAAATGGATTATTTCTTTAAAAAATCCAACTATTTTCCCACAAAATATTTAGACCCGATCGATTCAGCCGTTTTGACGTAGATGTGACAAACAAATACTCAGACAGACAAGCAAAGTATATGATTGGATAAAAATAAACATCCTAATGTTTATCTATAACTGTTTTCCCTCTTCAGTACATAAAATCCGGTTAAAAATAGCGTAAGAAGCATCATATAATAAAATTTACAACTGCAACAAAAGTATAATATCTATCTTTGTTATTGTAATGTGTATTTTTAAGTGCGAAAAAGTTTGACGGGATTTTTTTTCTAGATTGTTTAAGATCAATTAAAGTATTTTCACACATCACTACGTTCGGTGTGAAAATACTTTTATTTTGATAAAAAAAAACAATATATTCAAAGTAAAAATGACAGCAACAACTTTTTCGTGCGCATGATACCCATTACAATAACATAGATAGTTTAATTCAATTTTACTCAACTTATTTTATAGCAGGTCGATAAAGTTACTTTATCACCCTACAACAGGAAAAATTTGGCATAAAATTTGTAATTTGAATAGCAGGGTAAACAAGTTACTTTTCGCCCAATTGTAGGGCGATAATGTTCCTTAATCATCCTACAACGGGAAATATTTGGTGTGATAAATTTCCTCAATATTTAATAAAATAGTTAATACGAAAAATCTGCATTGAATGGATGAAAATGGGTTGAGACTCAGGACCTCGAGTTTATTTAGTTTATTATGCCACTTTCCTCTCTTCATTGTTAACTAAATAGAAGGTGTATTATACTCCTGTACGACCTTTAGACCTCGTAGCTTCTCCAGTTTTGTATAATTATGAGAAAATCAAATATTTCCGGTTACATTCTAGAAATTTAAAACATGTTTGTTCATATCAATAGCTCTTCGATAAAAGACGTTATGGTTGAATAAATATAAGATTTTAATCTTACGTGGAATTTACTTCAGTTCGACGTTAACTTCATTTTCTCTCCCCTGCTTCTTCCTTCTTCTATTTCCCAGGAATATCCCCGTCTCGTATTTCTTCAAGTTTCTGTGTATATATATATTTAGATACATGCAGCCCTCAACATTCTGAAGTTTAAGCACTTTTTATGGGGAAATAATTTTCCAGTGGGGGAAGTCTAATAAGTTAAAGATATAAAATGAATATGATCACATTCAAATTAGAATATATTTAAATATGGATGATTAAAGGGACTGTATACGTATTTTCGAGTGACATTTAAAACAGAGTGACATGCCCGAGTCATAATAGTACCCTTTAAACCTTTTTCAAGGACGTATTAAAACCTCATCGTACATTTGTGAATAAAGATTGAGTGCTGGAAACATGATGTTGTAGTGATCACATATCCAGTAGTACGCGTGGACTTAACGGTTCTGTCAATATTTCAGAAAGCTGTGACTTTCGATCACAATTTGACCCGTTAAACATAATTTTTTAGCCTTTTGTTTTGGATACTTTTTTGTTGGCATATGCATTTTTAATGAAAAAGTAGAAATAAACAAATCTGTAAGGTCAAAGATTGTTGAATTATAGACCAACATACGTTTGATTTCAAATAGAAGAAACCGAATGCTGCGCACTCTGGTTAATCCGGGGTGAATACACTCCATACATAAACTCGCGTGGTTTTACTAAATTGTGTAGCTATTAGCTAAGAAACTAATGATCTGATAATAATCTATACAGAATCCATGATCATAGAACGGTCAAAAAGGTATTGTTGTAAATCGAACATGCCACTGTATTGAAGGAGAGTCACTCAAAATTTCATTTTCAATCTCTTGGGTTGATAAATGTCTAAAAATCATCTTTTGGGAAAAATGCAATTGTCCGTAAAATTAACTATGAATTTAAGGGTCGTCGTTAACGATCGTTAACGAAGGGTTGTCGTTGACGATCGTTAACAAAACGACGAACTTTATCAAAACGGTCGTTTTTGGAAAAAAATTACATGAAACTTTATTGAATGTCGTCTTATATGAAATTTAACAGTGGTGGGGGAGTTAAAACTCCTTGATATTTTCATATAAACTACTCAATGATAAGTACAGATGCCCTTCAGGTCGGTTTCCTCTCTTCGTTAACGATCGTTAACGAAGGGGTCGTCGTTAACGATCGTTAACGAAGGATTGTCGTTAACGATTGTTAACAAAGAGTCGTCGTTAATGATCGTTAACGAAGGGTCGTCGTTAACGATCGTTAACGAAACGACGAATTTTATAAAAACGATCGTTTCGATTTCGATTTTTCGTCGTCGTTTTCATATCGAAACGATCATTTTTCTGAAGAATGAAAACGTTAACAACCCTATAATACCGGTTATGCAGTGAGTATGCAGTGTTGTGGAAAGCTTCTTTAGGATTCATTTAAGACATATAAAACTTTTTAAAGATCTGTAAATCTTGAGTTTTTGAGCGCAAATTCGACGTTTAAAATTCCTCAAACTCAGGATTTAAAGATCTTTAAATGTCTCAAATGTCTCTTTATATGTCTCAAATGAATCCTAAAGAAGTTTTCCACAACACTGTATACTCAGTTCAACTACCTTACATAGCCGTTCTGTCCCTTTAAATCTAAATAGAAATAATTTATAAGACAGGGTAATTTATTTTAAAAAAATTCATACTTTATAGAACAGTCCAACTTTTTTAACAGTCTTGTAAAATTTAGTTTACAAAGGTAGCATCTAAATGTTTGCTAAGGAATCATTCAAATGTTTACGAAGGACATTTAAATGTTTACAAAGCTATAATTTAACTGTATCAATTAAATATTTACTAAGATATCAATTTTAACATTTACAAAGAAATAATAAATGTTTACAAAGGTATCATTAAAATGTTTGTATTATTTATGTATCAATACGTTATAATAATATAAAGTGATTTAACAGATTGAAAAGTTTTCATATTTTAGTTTAAAATTTTTTCTGAAGATTTAGAAATGAAACATTGATTATACAAACTAGAATCAAGTTTAAAAATTCAAGTCGCATCGAAAGGAAAGGTTTCAATTGTCAGTCAAATATTGAATATTTGTGTGGACATTATGTTATTATTTTCATATAAAATGCTAGGTATGTTATTTATAATTAAAATTGTGTGATATAGATATACACATTAAAGCTCGAGTAAGGTTTCAAAATTTAGAAAAATATTATTATTCTTTTTCTTTTTTTGCGGGCATGTGGATGTTTTTAGAAACAATTAAGAATTATAGGTAACACAAACAGTGCAAGATTTAGCAATTTTGCATTATACAATCTATATAATAAAGCAAGACATTCGTATATATATATATATGAGATCTATAGCCGACCAAACGGCTGGACCGATTGGGATGAAATTGTTTGTGGACACTCATGGGTGTTATAGCTTAAAAAAAAATTTCGAATTTTTTTCAAAATATTTTTTTTCATGGGCAAAGTTATCAAATTTTACCTTTATATAAATGTTTTTTTAAACAAAGGGTAAAGTGGAGTGCTGTGACAAATATTTTTCACCTTTCTTTCGATTTAAAATTTTTGAAATTTTTAGAATTTACTCATGCTTTATTACTTAAATATTTTGTATGGGCCAATGTAATTTGTAGAATAAGTTTTTTTTCATGACAAAAATTTACCAGTCATTCAAATCAGATAAAATAAAATAAAAATAGATTTCCGACACTTTGTTTAAGATAGTAATTAACCGTATTAAGACCAATTAGTAGTTTAGAATCAGAGATCGGAAAAGGATTTGAGTCTTTGCCACAAACTCAATATTTACAATGCCTTTATCTTTGCAACCTGATGGTGTAAAACTCTTATATTTCAAACCTAGACTGTTTGATCTGACAGAATATATAGTTTGAAATATCACAGGTCTACTACATTTGGTTGCAAAGATATAGGGATTAGAATATCAGAATTTGTGGCAAAGACTCAATTCCTTTGCTGCTAAGCTATATATATCCCAACTACAAGCTACCTCTTGACTTTTTAGTATTTGTGCTATTTCTTTAAAAGTTTAAAACATCCAAATAGAACTATGTAATATCTTAAACAATACAAGATCAAATACACATATTATTATTTAAAAGGTAACACATTTCAAACAGGTTTCTATTTATTATCCATACTTGGGTTTTCAGGCACATTAGTGGCTAAGTTAATAGATATCTATTTATAAACAAAATTTCTCAGTCATATTTTTCTTGTTTCTGCGTTTTTGCTCACTCACGAAGAATGAAACTTTTAAATATGTGTGTTCAGACTTTTAAAATTTTTTAGTTTCTGTTTTGCTACAGCTGTTTAATTAGTTTAAACTTTATAAAAGTGTGTGATTTTGATATTGAGCTTATTTGATAAATTTAAACAATTTAGAAAACTGCAAATATCTTTCGAAATTTCGAAGTTTTTAAAAGCAACTTAATTGAAATAAACCCAAAGGTGTTGCTTGGATTTCTGTTTTAAAAGTCTCAGGTTAGGCTTTAAAGCCGACAATAAAATCTCATTTTTGCAAATTACCCTATATAATGAAACAAAATAATATACAGTGCAATATAGGGTAAGCATTGGTTTTAAAAACCAGCAAAAAACAGTTGGTTTTCGTGTTTTGTTATTGATGACATATATTTATATATAATAAATCTATCAATGTGCAATTATTTAGATTTATATTGAAGGATGGTTCGGGAGGCTTTAGTGCGATAAATGATAGATGATAGAAGGAATTTGTTGGGGGGAGGGGAGAAGGGGCGGGGTGTATGGAAAGGGAAGGGGGGAGGGAATTCAAGAAACTGAAGAGGATACAACCGGTCGTCTAGGCCAATCCTTCCTTGCGCTAATTAGGTTTATATCTTTGTTTAAAGATTGTAGAATAACCCTGCAAAACAAAACTTCAAACAAAGAGGAAAAAACAATTTTGTGCTAATTTTAAAATAAAAAAATTCTTGGAAAAAACCAATCTTTGTCACAAACTCTGATTTTATAATCCCATATCCCTATATCTTCGCAACCTAATGTCATACACCTAAGAAATTTCAAGGACTGAAATCTGATCAATAATAAGTTTGAAATGTGAAAGGTTTACACCAAGAGGTTGCAAAGATATAAGTGTTTGAAAATTGCAATTTATTTGAAATGACATTTTTTGTCCATTTATATTTTTTATCAATGGCGTGCAACTTTTGTTATACAACTGAATTGATTGATTGAAGTTTCCTTATTGGTAAAATGTTTTGTTCAATCCACTCATTAACAGTATCTTCAAGGAAAAACTGGTTCATCTCATTGTTCAAGTTGGATGAGTATTCACTCAGAGACCTGAAGAAGTAATAAAGAATATTTAAAAAAATATCTAAAAATGGTTAAAAAATATTCAAAAAATAATTAAAAATACAGAAAAAATAATAAAACAAATTATGTGTAGAGCTATAACGATGGGGAAAAGAGGTTACAACTCACAGTAACAGATGAACAATTAGATCATCATAGATTTAAAAAATGTTTCTTTGCCTCTTAACAATATTTCTGTACTAAACCTGTCGATTGATTACAAATATAGTCTAAGAAAGTTATCAGTACATAGATTAATTAACAATATTTGTGTACTAAACCTGCCGATTGATTACGAATACAGTCTAGGAAAGTTATCGGTGAATAGATTAATTAACAATATTTCTGTACTAAACCTGCCGATTGATTACGAATACAGTCTAGGAAAGTTATCGGTGAATAGATTAATTAACAATATTTGTGTACTAAACCTGTCGATTGATTACGAATACAGTCTAGGAAAGTTATCGGTGAATAGATTAATTAACAATATTTCTGTACTAAACCTGCCGATTGATTACGAATACAGTCTAAGAAAGTTATCAGTACATAGATTAATTAACAATTATTTGTGTACTAAACCTGCTGATTGATTACGAATACAGTCTAGGAAAGTTATCAGTACATAGATTAATTAACAATATTTGTGTACTAAACCTGCCGATTATATACAAATACAGTCTAGGAAAGTTATCAGTTCATAGATTAATTAACAATATCAGATTTAAGAATAGATGTCGTCTTTCCAAGATAAAGGGGTTTTTCGTTCACAATAACCCTGAGGCAGAAGCCCAAAGGAGTGAACAAAAAATCCCTAAATCTTGAAAAGACGACATCTAATGTTCTTTCTGTTATTGTTAATTAATCTTTGAATAATGTGGAACAAAATACCCATGTCCAGAGAAGCACCATCTCTTTTGTTGTGTTAACTTAGTATAAAAAATCACTTAACTTTCATATTTACGCCATGTATTTAAATAATACAAAACAAAGAATAATAATATTTAATTACTTTAGTAAATACTGAATTTGTCTTGTCTGGGGGCTCAGGCGAGAAGGAGAGGAAAAATTATGCCTAAAATAAGAAAAATAGAGCTTTTAAATTAAAAAAGGAAAGAAAAAATGTATATAAATAAATTTTCCAAAATGCCAGACTTCAGGAAAGATATTGACGGCTCGGCACAACATTTTTATTTGAAGTACCAGGTCGACCATTGGGCAACAGTAGAGAAAATAGTATATAAGCAAAAAGGCAGAGTACGCCAGATGTTAAATGTGACCCCCTATGCAGGATTACAATCCTACAAATTCGTTTCTCTTAGTACAGCAATTTGGATAAATAAGCTTCATCTAAATTTTCAGGCATATTCCCTTTTGAATTTTAAAACACGCCTGGTACAAGCGCGGACGAGTATGAGCGCGGCGCTGAAAGAATCAGAGAAGAAAAGAACTTACTCCCATTTAGACCATCAACCTAATCTGACGTGCGTTCTGAATTCTATTATCTTTGCTATTTTTATTATTTCATTTTAGAGTAAACTAAAATGAGGGTTCATCGAGTCATGAGCACTTCATCCATTCAAATTTGTTTACCTGAGGTTGTAAGATGTGAGCCAGCCTCCGCGCAGTCTAAGTTTACGTACAAGGTTCTCTGCCTCTGACTTGTAGTACTGTAGAGACGAAACCAAACCAAATAATTTGCTCCCAGGAAACTTGCAGTTACGAAGTTCAGACTAAAAACAGAAATCACATGATTTGTCAGTAGAGATGGACATAGTTTTTTTTGAACGACCAGCATTTTTAAGAACGAACACGAAAGAATTAGAGCGTTCATAGAAATGAAGAAAATTCGCTTTTAAAAACGAACGAAAAAAAACTAACGATTTTACTGAACTAATCGTTCAGTGAGAAAACGAACAAAATAGATGGAAAATGAACAATAATTTTGAGAATGAACGAAATAATTTTTTTAAACAATTGCAAAAACCAACGAAATGTGTTCGCTCAAGTCGCATCCTTTGTGGGTAACCCTTTATATTCCGGTTTTACCCTTTCAAAACAAAAGACATATTTATAACTAATTTAAAATTCTAAATTCATAATTCTAAAATTGTAAACATTATTAGGATTTGGCGTTTACTCCTTAGGTTAAAGAAATTTGTTTGTCGGAAAATGTTTTCTAAATATAAAATGCAAAAATGATACAAGACAAAACATGCCTGGGGAAATTCAACTCTTAGATTAGATTAATTCTAACTTGAGAAAGCTATGACGCAAAACAAATTGATGCCTGAGCTTGCTAATTTGCACAAAATTGCACAAAGTGTGTTAAAAGTTTCCGAATCTGATGCAAAACATGCAAATTCATTATTCAGGATGTCGAAATAAACATGGAATTCAATGACAACTTCAAGGTCGTCTTCGTAAAATATTTCTAAGTTAGTAAAAGAATATATATCAATATATTTCTTCTGCAAACTCAGAAAGGATACACACCCTGTACAACACCTGGTTCCGATCATGTTTATTATAAGCATTATTTACATCAGGCGAATTAAATCTCCTGGATTAAGGGTATGAAAGCATCAAGGTTTAATCCCTGTTTATTGGGGCACCCTGTACAACCCTGGGTAATTAATTCCCATGTATATTTGAACACCCTGTACATTGTGCAGTGCAAGAAATCTAAATGTTTTTGGAACACCTTGTACACAGAATCTGCATTCTTTTTTGGGACACTGTGTCTTAATATTGGTAGATTCTGTATAACGAAACTCTGTGTTAATATTGGGACACCCTGTATAAAAAACTGTGTGTTGATATTGGTACACCCTGTATAACGAAACTGTGTGTTAATATTGGTACACCCTGACCCTGTATAACGAAACTGTGTGTTAATATTGGGACACCCTGTATAACAAAACTGTGTGTTAATATGGGGACACCCTGTATCGTGTAAAACACCTGATGTGGATCTTGTCGTAATCTGCGCTGTGTCAGCAAGGGAACAGTTCCAGGGCAGGATAACAAAGAATGGATCTATAATATATATACATATATATAGAAAATATAGAAAATATAGAAAATATAGAAAATATAGAAAGTGTAGAAAGTATAGAAAATATAGAAAATATAGAAAATATAGAAAATATAGAAAATATAGAAAATATGAAAAGTATAGAAAATATAGAAAATATAGAAAATATAGAAAATATAGAAAATATAGAAAATGTAGCAAATATAGAAAATATAGAAAATATAGAAAATATAGAAAATATAGAAAATATGGAAAGTATAGAAAATATAGAAAATATAGAAAATATAGAAAATATAGAAAATATCGAAAATATAAATAATATAAAAAATATAGAAATTAATAGAAAATATAAAAAAATATAGAAAATATGAAAAATATAAAAAATATAAAATATATAGAAAATATGGAAGATATAGAAAATACAGAAAATAGAAAATATAGAAAATTATTTAAGCTCAGAACTCTTGTATTTTAATATCGAGATCAAAACTTGATCTTAGTCTTATGTTAGCCTGCAGATTAATTTAATCTTTATTTGATATCTAGCATAATACATTAGGGGGTTAAGGTATAATCTTTATAAATTCTCAAAACAAAAGTGCGCACAGTGGATATTGAGATCAATCGATCGTGATTATGAGTATCCAGCACACATTAAGTTCCCAGCTCTGCTAGTGTAAATCTTTAATACTTCAAACATTGATTATTTGATCCATCAGATGTCTTATACTCAAAGACATCAGTTTGCAAAGATAAAAATTTAAAAAACATATTATTTGCGAAAAACCAATTCCTTTATCAAAATTGTTTAATTGAGTCTGTATAATGAATATTAAAATCAATTAATTCTCCACATTTTCGTGATAGTATTAATTAGATCCAAGGAATTAATTGAAACAAATGGTTTCAGTTCAAAAAAAAAAAAAAAATAGTTTTTTAGAAAAAAATGATGACTCGCATTTAGGGTTTCCACGAAAGAGCTAATTCTCTTGCGCAACAATTTCGTGTTTTTGCACGAAATGACTTTTTTTGCACGAAATTTCGAATTAATTCCTATCAATACGAAATCAGTTTTGCACAATATTGCTCATTCATTCTAAATCATTTTTTTGCACGAATTTTGCTTGAAAATAGAATTTAAATCATAATTGTTGCATGATTTTGTGCACGAATACAAGGTCATAGTTTTTGCACAAAAATGGCAATACTCATGATAGCGAGAAATTGGAGTTTTTTTTAAAATGGGTGTATAAATACGAAAAAAAGAAAATAGGTTAAATAGTTTCATTAAAAAAAAAACATTTCTTTCATAGCTGCAGTATTTATTCATGAACAATTATTCAATTATTATCATATATTTATGGTTTAGACACTGATAAAATATTGGTCATTTTCATTGATACAATTTGTCAATATAAATATGTTTTCAGAAAACGCTATGGAGGTGCCATTGGAGGTGTGTCTCAGTCATACTGATGACATCTTTGTATTAATCAACAGATTGATGTACACATTTATCTTGGTTGTCTGTCTGATTGTTTGTTCCATATATCCCCGGTCGGCTGGACCAAATTGTCTTAAATTTGTGTGCAGGCAAGACACCCTGAGTGATTAATTCATTTCCTGAAATTGTTTCTTGAAATTTAACGAAATAGCTCGAAATAAAAAATAGCTAGAAATAATAGAATAGCAGGAAAAAAAGAAAAAAAAACCTAGATTTTCTTCAGAATTTTAGCGAAATAGCTTTTGCACATCAGTGCAAAATTATTTCAAAATTTCGTGCAATTTTTACTCGAAACGTAAGAAAATCTTTGAGCAATAAGTGAAAGATTTTCAGGCAAAAAAATTTCGATTTGAAACCCTACTCACATTTAAGTAATTAAAGAAAAATCAGAATTTAAATAAAAAATGCATAATAGATATCTGAAATTTGATTTTTTACATTTTCGATTCTCTAAAAGAGCAAATTGTAGATTTAAACAGCAGTAAATGGGAACCAACCAATTCAGCTAAATCATATAAATCACCGACAGAAAAACGTGGTCACGTGTCTCTCTCTGTAACACTTGTCCAGTATAATGCACTCTCATTGGCGGGAGTTCTTGAGACGTAATACTGACTTATAAATGATATTATCAAATATATCTATTAAAGATAAAATAAAAAATTATACAATAATAATCGGAGGAAACCTATGTTACAATAAGAATTTTCCGGGATATCTTCATTTTCAGATTGGTTGCGGATTTGCTGAATATGATCTATTTAAGCCTTCTAAATTCTATATAAAATTGTATATATATGAATTTTCGTATGAATTTGACAGAGTTGTATATTAATTTCTCGAAAAACAGATAGAACTTTAATTTTTCCTTTACAGTCCCTTTAAGACTACAGCTTTGAGTCGGGTACATGTGATGCTTTAAATTGAGTGCCACTTGGAATTCCGTTAACAGTCTCTTAAAGGTTTTACCTCAGCTCCGAGATTTACAGGTTTCGCCACAGTTACTAGATCCAGGACTAGGCTGGGTATAGACACAGGTAATAGTTCACACAATACAGCAAAATGGTCATACCGAGACCAGCCTGGAATTAAGTCAAATTATTTATTGCCTCCAACTGAAAAAAGTTGAATCTCTGGATAAAACTTGTCGGCTAAAAAAAGCCTTAAATGCTAAAAAAGGGTCCTATATAACTGATTTGAGAAGTCCCTGGAACTATTTACCTGACAAAAATAAGTCCCTGGAAATAGTTATCTGATAAAAAAGTCCCTGGAACTATTTACCTGCTAGAAAAAGTCCCTGGAACTATTTACCTGCTAAAAGAAGTCCCTGGAACTATTTATCTGCTAAAAGAAGTCCCTGGAACTATTTATCTGATGAAAGAAGACCTTGGAACTATTTATCTGATGAAAGAAGACCCTGGAACTATTTACCTGCTAAAAGTAGTCCCTGGAACTATTATTATCTGCTAAAAGGAAGTCCCTGCATGGAACTCTTTACCTGCTAAAAGAAGTCCCTGGAACTATTTACCTGACAAAAAGTAGTCCTGGAAATTGCCACCTGCTAAAAAATTCTCTGTAACTATTTACCTGCTAAAAGAAGTCCCTGGAACTGAATAGTTTTACCACTAGGAGCTAAACCAGACTCACGTTCCATCACCTAAACGATAAGGATTTTTTCTGTAGTTCAAGGATCTAAGAATCAAAACTATCACGTCAAGATTAAAATCTTATATGCTTTCAATCATAACTCCTCCTATGGAAGATCTGTTAAAAAGAACAAAAGTGTTTTTAATTTCTTATATGTAAACTGATACATCTGAGATTTAATAATTTTGCGTAAAATCAAAACTTGAAGAGCTACGAGGTCACAAAGTTGTACCAGGAATGTCACATAAATTTGGAACTTACCAACTTTAGGATGTCATTTTACTAACGACCAAAATCTCTTACAGTAATCAGAAAATTTGAGCTTGTAGCAGAGACTCAATTTCTTTACAGTTGCGAATATAATGCAAAAAAGTGTTATTAAACTATTCTGAACAGAGGTCTCTAACATTTTAATCTTTGAAGGTAATTTTGTACAAAAAAAACTGAACAATTGAAATCATAATATAATGTAGTAAAATAATCGATCTAGGTTAAAGAGAATAAAATAAATGAATCTACCTTCAGCCAACTGAGTTGATTGTTGAAATGTCTGTTTAAATTTGGTATAAACATCCTTTCACCAAAAGCTCCTAAAAAAGATAATTAAAAAATGGAAAATTAAACAATGTAAACAAAGGAATTAAGTCTTTGTCACAAACTCTGATTTTCTAATCTCTATATCTTTGCAACCCAAAGATATATTATGTTTAACGGATCGGGCTCTTTATTGCTTCACATTAAAAGTTTTTGCTTTGGTCAAGCGCTTTCTAATTCCTTTGATGACATCCTCAATATTACCAGAGACATACACCGGGGGGGGGGNAATCTTAAAAATAATTTTGATTGCAACTCTTTCCTAACATGTTGCACGTGTTCAAGGAAAATATGTTTCTTCCCTAAACTAGTTGGTCCTGTAGGAACCAGTTTTCTTCCCTGAAATATTAAAATATATTATTCTTGCCTAAACTAGAATTGGTCCAGTAGGAACTAGTTTTCTTTACTGAATTATTAAGATTTTCTTCCACAAATTATTAAAGAGTAATACAAATAAATAATTAGAACACAACTCGAAATATTTGTATTTAAAGGCCACATTTATTATTTATCTAATAAAAGTTGGTTGGATGGAAAACTGTTTAAAGGGACTGTACGCGTTATGTCAAGTGAACTTAAAGGCAATTAGATGGCAATGTCTCATTTACAACGGTCCCTTTGTTACCTTATCTGATCCAAAACATCATCGTTTTTCCGACGCGATAAGTGTTTAATTATAATAATTTCTACATTGCTTCTTATAAGCAGGAAATGCACAAGTTACTTTCGCAGAGAAACCGCAAATGAAAATATTCAGCATAGAGAAACAAAAACATGGATATTTTGCAGTCACTCATGCAATTATGTTTTGCCAATTACTTCTTTTTAAAGCTAAAACCAAGTTTGTTAAAGTATATGTCTTCTTATACAAAAACAAGCTTGGAAACCCAGCTTTGCCTAAAAACTAAACTATCTTTAAAATATTTAACCCACTCGATCAGTTTTGAAGTATTAAACCAAGCTAAGAACATTCCCCTGGTTCTAACGAATTACTTAGTCAAAATTTTAGGGAACTCAGTTAAGGGGTTCTTGAGTTATGACCGGACATACTAACAGACAAACAAAGAACCCAGCGTGGCCCATGGGAGTCATAGATAGTCCCACCGTTTACCCGCCCCTTGTCTTAAATTACGATTTTAGATAGTTTTCCCATTAAAAGTAGACCCACTCAAATTAGAATCTCAAAAAAAAGCTAAGAACATTCCCGTGGGTCTCCCGAGTTCCCAAATCAAAATTTGAGGCAAATCAGTCCATGGGTTCCTGAGTTATGATCGGACGAACAAACAAACAAAGATTACTACTTTATATATATAGATATATACGTTAGTAAACTCAAGGGCCAAGGCCATTAAAACTATAGAAAGAAGGTCATAGAAGAAAAAGAATTAGAGACAAGTGATCAGTTCTGTTTTCAATACCTTTGCACTACATCTTGAACACTGTCCAAGCTGATAAACCTCATCACAACCTTTATGATATATCATTATGAGAATCACGTATATTTTCTTTCAAATTTCATTCTTTTGAATTGAATTATGCTCAAAATTACAAAAGTTTTGTTCAAATAACGCAAATATTGTTTAAAGTTACAAACATTTTGTTCGAAAGAACGAACATTTTGTTTCAAATAATAAACATTTTGTTCGAAATTATGAACATTTTATTCGAAATAAGAAACATTTTATTCGAAATTACAAACATTTTGTTCAAAATTATAAACATTTTGTTCAAAATTATAAACATTTTGTTCAAAATTTTAATCATGTTGTTCGAAATTATGAATATTTTGTTAAAAATTACGAAATTTTGGTCGAATATTAACATTTTGTTTGAAAAAACGAACATTTTGCTCGAAATTTCTAATATTTTCTTCAAAATAATGAAAACTTTATTAGAAATTACGAATAGTTAGTCAAAAATTACAAAACTTTTGTTAAAATTACGAACATTTCTTGCAAATTAAGAAAAGTACGTACAAATGACAAAGATTTGGAACATTTTCTTCCAAATTATGAAAATTGTATACCAAATTATGAACTTTATGTTCTAAATTATGAACACTTTGTTTCAAATCATGAACATTTTCTTCCAAACTATGAACATTATGTTTGAAATTATGAATATTTTGTTCCAAACTCTGAAAATTTTATTCCAAACTATAAACATTATGTTCGAATTTATTAACATTTTGTTCCAAATCATGAACATTTTATTCAAATTATGAAAATTTTGTTCCAAATTATGAATATATTCGAATTAAGGAACGTTTTGTTCGAAAGCATGAATATTACTTTCTAAATTATGAACATTTTTATTTCCGAATTATGAATATTTTGTTAGAAATTATGAACATTTTTTTCCGAAATCATGAAAATTTTGTTCGAAATTATTAACATTATGTTTTCAAATATGAACATTTTGTTCGAAATAATCAACATTTTGTTCGAAATAATCAACATTTTGTTCGAAATTATGAACATTTTATTCGAAATCATTAATATTCTGTTCAAAATTAGGAAAACGCGTTGTTCCAAATTATTGATGTTTTGTTCGAAATAATGAACATTTTGTTCCAAATTACGAATTTTTTGTTCAATCAAAATTATTACCATTTGATAGAAATGCTTAACAGTTTTCTAATAAATTTTTAAAGTTTGAATTGCTTTCGAGAATCTAGATAGTTTTATGCAAGTTACAAATGACTCAGGAAAGCCTAATGATCATGACGATATTTTCCCCTAGACACCATTTAGTTAAAAATCGATTTAGAAAGAATCAAAATGTTCCAAAAATGTTCGATTATAGACTTCTCAAAAATGAATAATGCCAAAAAATGAAGCTCATGGCTAAATCTGACCAAAGCATTCTAGTCTAAAAGTTGCATGATCTGTGTCGGTACAACAAGTACTGTACAGTCAGGCTACCGGCGTGACCGGTGTACAGTTGACCCAGCACGTTTTATTCAGAAAATGTAGCTTTGCAAGANATAATAATAATAATAAAATAATAATACCTTGATTTTGAGAAGATGTTCTAAGTGTCCGAATGTTTGTACTAACGGTATAACAGATAGATTACTCTTCTCTGCTAGCTCAAGGATAATCTTCACCTCCTAAACATCAAATATAGATTAAAAGGACTGTTAACTTATATTAAAAGCGACCTTCAATTTATAAAGTGGAATTTGTTCCATTCACAACAGTATTTATTCAATCTAAATATAAACAATTCAATTATTTAATTTATTCAATCTAAATATAAACAATTCAATTATTTAATTTATTCAATCTAAAGGATGATGTAAACCTTTGATATTTCAAATTTTGATTATTTGATCTTTAGATATATTTTCCTGATTGTTCCAATTTTAGTTTTGGGCACCCTGTGAATCGAGCTAGCAACTCTTCAAAATGAAGATTGACTTAAAATTTTGTAATTACCCCTAAAGAAATAAATCTTATTAAGTGTATTATCACCCGTATTGATTTTTTGAGTTTTTTAAATTAAACTAAAGCATTTGAAAAAGCTTTAATCGCGCGCAAGATGCTGAAATTGAGAAACCATTATTTTTTAACCGTCGTTATCTATTGTAAAAGGTTAAAAAAACGACATAGTTGTAAACTGATTATTTATTCAAACCACTCTTTATTTACCATAATGGCAATAATATGATTTTTTAATAAGGGTGGTACATTGTAATTAATCAAACAGCTGCAAGCAAAGGAAATAAAAACATAAATAATGTTTTACATGCTGGGAAAATATAGTTGTTGCTGTTTATTAAAGGGAGAGACCATCTAGGTAGCATATTTGAACCGGAAGTGCAGTATTATAGTATATTATATGTGTATAATTTTTAATTACATTAGAAGTTCTAAACAGTTAAAACGTCAAATTGGTTTTAAAAGAATACTAAAGGTTTTCTCTTTAATACTGCAAGTCTCTCACTTTGAAACTTTTATATAGAATAAGTCTTTACGCGTGTATATATTATCTTATAAAACATTTCTTATAAAGAATATTTTGTTCTGTTTACTATGAAAGTTGACCCTCGTAAATATGCCTCGGGAAATTTTTATTTGGAGAAAATGTTTTCAAACTCAAAATCCAAACATTTCTTATTTCGAAATACTGAAAGAATTTCAAAATTAACACAATTTTAAAGATATTAACTGTATATCTTCCATTATATTCGACATGTTGAACACAATGTTCGTAATTTCTATGGACAGTTGTTACCTGAACGGTGTACGCAACTTTAGATGAAGCATTGGCAAGAACACCTGTGTAAGGGAACATATCTTCCCATTCTATCAATAGATCTGTACCACCAGCTAACCTGGATTAAAGGAACAGTACATATCAATAGATCTGTACCACCAGATAACCTGGATTATAGGAACAGTACATATCAATAGGTCTGTACCACCAGATAACCTGGATTATAAAGAAAATAGGTAAGGATTTACAAATAAAATAGGTAAGTCTCAATCTTCACCTAGAATCTAGAAGATAACTCCGTCGCCCCTGACCAAATAAGGGTTTAAACGGATGCTTTAAGAGCTGATCCTTTCATATGAAAATTAGGAATAAATCAACTCCGCAGATGCTTCACAGGGCGAGGTTTGAATATTTGTATATGTATCAATTCTATAAGGACCGATTTTGCCGTAAATTTATGTAGCATCAATGTGGAAGTTACATTTGAAAATCGAATAAAAAAGGTTCTTCCCATAATCTTAAAAGGTGTTAATACTAAATAAATTTTGAACAGTTCAGGAAAGGCTCCTGAGGCCTTTAAGAACCAATTTCATCCGAAAGAAATTGTAAAACTTACTTGTGACAATCAGATTTTTATTTTTGAGAATGAAAAAAAAAGTTTTTTGTTGATGTTTTACTCATTAGCTCAATACTCAATAGAATATTTAAAAGAGCTATTGACTATACTCTGTAGCTCTTTTAAAAGAGGGGCAAAAAGTGCAAGAAAAAGCGTAAAAAAAACAATAAATACTATTTTAATTATTTCCATTTATAATATGCTTTTAAAGATTTTTGTCAACAAATATCTAGTATTCACGAAGCATAAATAAATATTTTAGATTTTAAATATATTGTATTGTGTATCAGGTTTGCAGAGCGAGGTGAACAAGGTGGATATCAGCAGCAAGATGCTAACGAGTGCTGGATGGAGCTCATGAAGATGCTGCAACAGAAGACTAAGGTCATCATCAAAAATTATTAAAATTTTCCCAAATTTTTTAATACTAGATTTGTGTAATTTTCTAGAATAAATACTATGTTTTGATTGCTGTTTGAGCTATTCTGTTTAATGAATACAATTTTTGTTTCAGGCTGTCGATAATAGCAAAGCTGCGAATGCTGTTGAACAGTTCTTTGGAATAGAATGTCAGTCTCAGCTCAAGTGTGTAGAGGTCAGTAAATAAATCATTGCTTAGGTTCCATTTCATTTGGATGCGGAATGCGGATTCGTATCCTGGACCCTGCTAGAAAATAATGATCATGAAGATTTATTTAGGATTTTACTGATTTTTTTAACAGAACAAGAATTTTCGAATTATTTTTCTTTCTTTTTTTCATTTATCTTTCTTTATGCAACAACATGAAAAACCTTTTAGAGATAAGGACATTTCTCTTTTTTTGTCGAGTTTGGTTGATATTTTGCCCTTGGATCCGAATTCGTGATCCGCATATTTTTGCGGATCCGGATCCAAACCCCCCCCTATGAATGGTCCTACTGCTATGAATTATAGATGGCTAATTAAGTTTGATTGATTGATAAGTATGATTCACAACCTCATTGTATATTTTTTGTACATTGGATATTATTATTAATAATTTAAGCTAAGCTACGCATTAATGGCAATATTTACTATGATTTTTTATCATTTTATAAGCTGTGTTTTTTTTTTACTTTATTTCATTTATAAAACAAAAAACACGCTATACAGAAGGTCAAATTTATGCGATGCGATATCGTGTATCTGTTAGTTAACTAGGTTTCAAATGCTCTAACATGTTCAAACTGTTTTAACGTGTTCCAAACTGTTTTAACGTGATTCAAGCTGTTGTAACGTGTTCCAAGCTGTTGTAATCTGTGCTTAACTGTTTTAACGTGAGTTGTTACACACTGTTCTAACGTGTTCCAAACTGTTCTGAAGTATTCCAAATTTTGTAACGTGTTCCAAAATGTTGTAACATGTTCAAAAATGTTGTAACGTGTTCCAAAATGTTGTAACGTGTTCCAAAATGTTGTAACGTGTTCCAAAATGTTGTAACATGTTCCAAGATGTTGAAACTTGTTCCAAACTGTTGTATCGTGTTTCAAAATGTCCCAAAGCTACAAAATTACCTGATCAAAGGGAAGAGATCTTGAAAGAAGGAAATCTGAAAAATATATATTTATCATGTTTCAAGCATCTGAGTAATACAAACTAATTAAGCTTGAGATGACTGTAAGCATAATTAAGAGGTCACATGACAATGCCCGATTAACAACAGTAACCTTAAAAGATTTGTATGATCAAGTATGAACTGTGGTTTCTCTACAAAAGTGACTTGCCCATTTCTAGTGCAGAATAGTAATCTAAATCGTTTCAAACGACAATAGCTTTCACATTAATAATTAGATAGAGGTTTTAAGGGTACCGTTGTAAATCGGGCATTGTTTCTTGATAATTCGCTGACAGTCCCTTTGCGCAGCACTGATTTTGCTTTTTTCCTACAAAATTCATACAAATTATTAACTTAATAATTCTGAAATGTACATGTTGCAAAATTTAAAGTCCCAGTCTTGAAAATTGATGCAATCTTTCATAGCAGTCAGGATCAATGTGAAAATGATCAATGTGAATATGATCAATGTGAATATGATCAATGTGAATATGATCAATGTGAATGTGAATATGATCAATGTGAATGTGAATATGATCAATGTGAATATGATAAATAATGTGGAAGATATCCAGAAAGCACAATGCTAAATAATCCATTTTTAAAAAGCTTGCTTTACAGGGTTTTATTTTGAATCGGACAAAAACGGAGAGTTACGACTACAGTCCCTTTAAGTGCATTATAAAAGGTTTTTAAATCTTACCTTTGGTGGACCTCCCTTTAAATCTAAATGAACAAGTCTTCTCTCCGGAATAAAGAATTTAGCTTCGTCTCCAACCATTTGAACCCGTATACTCTTCAGGTGCTTTTTAGACTAAACATAGTTATTATAATTATAATTATTATTATAATTATAATTATTATTATAATTATATCATAAATAATAATAATATCACTGTGATCGCACAACACTTCATTTTTTGCATAAAATGTGCTGGGTCGACTCTGTACTGGAAAACCAGTCTGGACGGTACGACTGAATCTGTGCGTGTAGGTACTCGATCTCTCCCTCAAATACCATGTATTGTTTCTCCAAACTACCATGTATCTTTTAAGCTCCACTTTAATTGTTGCAAATTTGCAAATATTCAAATATTTATTGAAAATCTAATGACCGAATGCAAATCTGAATATATTGTTTTGTCTGGTTTAGGTAAAATAAAGCATTGTGGTAGAATTGATAAAAGCCCAGTTTTGAGCACGAACTAAGGGGCCTGTTTAGCAGGAAAAGTCAAGAAAACCAATACCTTTGAAGAGTTAATGTCCAAAAAACGTAAAGGGATGGGGTTCCAATCCAATATCCCCCCCTTCCCTGAGCATAAAATTAACTAAAACAAATGCAAAATTGTAAAATAATCGAAACCTTTTTCAGTTAAAAAGTTTAACATTCATTTTATCTGACGCTTCACATATCCTTGCAATTAGGAATGCAGAAAGTTGATTACGTAAGCTGATAAATAAGCCAGGTGACATATGTCAAAATCGATATCATTTCCTCTGATAATTAATATGTTAAGATTAAAAAAAAACTAAAAAAAATTCGGCAAAAATTGTCCTGTAATGAATATTGTGTAACCCTATATCTGTAAACCTGAACTACGTTGTACATTATTAATCAACTACGCTGTATATAACTATGTAAAACCTGTAGTTTAATTAGGTTTGTATATAACGATATAAAACTTGTATTTGCGTTGATTAACTTAACTTGTATCATAGAACCCAAAATACATTCAGTTGGAATAACACTCAGCTTTGATTAGGGTGTGAGAGTAATTCTTCTTGGTTAAAGAAGGAGAAGCGTCCTGAATCACTTTCTTGAAAGATATATATAGTTTGGGAATTACATTGAGTTGTATCTTGTAAGACAGATACCTGAGAATACAGACTAAGTAGTATCCGGTTTTATATTGACTATGGGATTCGTGCGAACCTTTAGTTCTTGATTGAATTGTATCTTGTAAGACAGAAACCTCAGAATACAGGCTGAGTCGTATCTGGATTGATATTGACTATGGTATTCATGATGAACCTCAAGTTCTAAATTGAGTTGTATCTTGTAAGACAGATACAGACTGAGTAGTGTCCGGATTGATATTGACTATGGTATTCCTGATGAATCTTAAGTTCTAGCTCTAGTTCTTAGTTTGCATACCAATCTCTAGCTTTAGTTTATAGTTTGAAATACACATCCCTAGCTCTAGTTTATAGCTTGAAATACCCATCCCTAGCTCTAGTTTCTAGTTTGCAATACCCATACCTAGCTCTAGTTTCTAGTTTACAATACACATCCCTAGCTCTAGTTTCTAGTTTGCAATATCCAGCCCTAGCTCTAGTTTCTAGTTTAAAATACTCATCCCTAGCACTAGTTTATAGTTTGTAATACCCATCCCCAGCTCTAGTTTCTAGTTTGCAATATCCAGCCCCAGCTCTAGTTTATAGTTTTCAATACCCATCCCTAGCTCTAGTTTCTAGTTTGCAATACCCATCCCTAGCTCGAGTTTCTAGTTTACAATACCCATCCCTAGCTCTATTTTCCAGTTTGCAATACCCATCCCTAGCTCTAGTTTCCAGTTTGCAATACCCATTCCTAGCTCTAGTTTCCAGTTTGCAATACCCATCCCCAGCTCTAGTTTCTAGTTTACAATACTCATCCCTAGCTCTAGTTTCCAGTTTGCAATACCCATCCCTAGCTCTAGTTTCTAGTTTGCAATACCCATCTCTAGCTCTAGTTTCTAGTTTGCAAAACCTATCCCTAGCACTAGTTTCTAGTTTTTAATACCCATCCCTAGCTCTAGTTTATAGTTTACAATACCCATCCCTAGCTCTAGTTTATAGTTTACAATACCCATCCCTAGCTCTAGTTTATAGCTTGAAATACCCATCCCTAGCTCTAGTTTACAGTTTGCAATACCCCTCCCTAGCTCTAGTTTATAGTTTACAATACCCATCCCTAGCTCTAGTTTCTAGTTTGCAATACCCATCCCTAGCTCTAGTTTCTAGTTTGCAATACCCATCCCTAGCTATAGTTTCTAGTTTGCAATATCCAGCCCTAGCTCTAGTTTCTAGTTTGCAATACCCATCCCTAACTCTAGTTTCTAGTTTGCAATACCCATCCCTAGCTCTAGTTTCTATTTTGCAAAATCCATCCCTAGCTCTAGTTTCTAGTTTGCAATACCTCCCCTAGCTCTAGTTCATTGTTTACAATACCCATCCCTAGCTCTAGTTTCTAGTTTGCAATACCCATCCCTAGCTCTAGTTTCTAGTTTGCAATACCCATCCCTAACTCTAGTTCTAGTTTGCAATACCCATCCCTAGCTCTAGTTTCTAGTTTACAATACCCATCCCTAGTTCTAGTTTCTAGTTTGCAATATCCAGCCCTAGCTCTAGTTTCTAGTTTGCAATACCCATCCCTAGCCCTAGTTTCTAGTTTGCAATATCCATCCCTAGCTCTAGTTTATAGTTTACAATACCCATCCCTAGCTCTAGTTTCTAGTTTGCGATACCCATTCCTAGCTCTAGTTTCTAGTTTACAATACCCATCCCTAGTTCTAGTTTCTAGTTTGCACTATCCAGCCCTAGCTCTAGTTTCTAGTTTGCAATATCCAGCCCTAGCTCTAGTTTCTAGTTTGCAATACCCATCCCTAACTATAGTTTCTAGTTTGCAATATCCAGCCCTAGCTCTAGTTTCTAGTTTGCAATACCCATCCCTAACTCTAGTTTCTAGTTTGCAATATCCATCCCTAGCTCTAGTCTCTAATTTGCAATATCCATTCCTAGCTCTAGTTTCTAGTTTGCAAGGGGGGCAGAATAATTATTAGAGTGCTGACGTCTTTCCACTTTGCCGTGAAAGTAGTAAAAACCCCGATTAAAGCTTTAAATTGTCAAGGGGAAAAACATTCAGCCTAATAATTAGAACTCATGTCAAATTTCAGATATTTAAAAAAAAGTTTACATTTTCTCTCAAGCAATTCAATATTTTTTTATAAAATGTTAGATTTGTGCGACTGAGTTGTAATAAATGTTAACTAGAATTTTAATACTAGATACAGTGATTAAAAAAACCATTTTGTTGCCATTTTTATTTACAATAAAAACTACCAATACATACAAAAAAAAATGAAATTAATGTTAATTTACATCAAACAAAATTCCCATCAAAAATTCTATCAAAATGCAAAAAGAAATGGGGGAACCTCGAAAAGAAAATCTGCGAACCCTTTTTATTGTTATTAAATAAAAATTGTTTGAATGGAAAATCCATATTACCATCTTATTATCTTAGATTTAAATTTTAGATTTTAAATTTTCCACCTAAAATATGAAACCAAAACATATTTTTATATTGTTTTGTAAAACAACGATAACACCATTTTTTCCCTCACAATATAGGCTATTGATAGCAAGATAGATAGATAGATTTATAGAAAGATAGATAGATAGAAAGATGGACATATTTATGTACACATATGAACTAAGCTATTGTAAAGGTTAATAAGCTATATACCTTTAGTGTTCAGTGCACTGATTCATTATTAGTTAGTTAAACTAGGTATTTCACCCCAGCTAGGATAGATAGTTAGTTAGCTACAGGGAGAAAGCGTCACATTTTTGTATATTTCAATTTGTCGTTCTCTAATGAAGTTTACTTCTAAATACTCCGCTGGGAAACATTAAAACATTTTGGCCTCAAATCTTTAACTTTGCCAAATAAATTAAATTCAGTTTTCCATGACTTTAAGTTATGTTTGGGTACATGAAAATTTAAATTTGATACATTTGTGAAAATAAAATTAAAATTTTTCAGATATCTGCAGGATTCCAGTATTACCCCCCCCCCTTCCTTCCAATTCCTTACTGGGGCAATTTGTACCAGGTGTCTCTGAAATTTTAACTTTGTTGCGTTCAAAGTTAAGTTTTTAAATTCAATTTTTTCTTTCATTACTTATTATTTTGAATAAAATAAACTATTTTATTTTTCCTTTTTTTGTAGGGCTTTGTTGATCTAATTCTACGAATGTCAGATGAAGAAGACTGAACAAAAATGTAGAATGAAAAATGAAGGATAGGATGAAGGATAAAAAATAATAAAATATACTTTGCTCTTTGCTGTGTGTAAGATGGTGAAGTTATGGATGAAGGATGAAGGATGAAGGATGAAGGATGAAAGATGAAGAATTAAAATGAAAAAAATAATTATATATAATTACTTTGTTCTCCGTTGTGTGTATGATGGTAAAGATAAGGATGGAAAGAATGAGGAGAAAAGAAAAGGATGAAATCAGTTTTCTTAAAAAATAATAGTTTCACTTTATTTAAAAAAAATTACATTTCAAATAATTCTATTGAAAGTTCATTCATTTTCATTAGAATAAAACAAAGGTACGCTTTTTATATAAATAAAGATTGCAAACCAAGGTGTGTGTGCTCTTACGGAAAAATCAAGCGGTATTTTGCCAATATACTTTCAAACGTAAGCTAAAATCGAGCGCGTAGCAGTTTTAAAATGTATGTGTCTAGGCCTACAAAAAAGTATAAGTTAGTTGGTGAGGTATAACCAAAAGCCAAGGCGTTGCGACACTTTAAAGTTTAGGCTGTCTAAAAATATAATGACTAAGTTTTACAGAATAGTTTTTATCTAAAAGATCTTTGAATGTTCAAAAAATTAATTTACAAATGCAACAAGTTTTGATGAAATTGAAAAATCAATTATCTTTTGATCTGTTTGTTACATACAGATATTAACTTTCTTTTTTCAAATTTGCATCTAAGTTCAAATTAAATTTCTAAAACTAGATTAAAGTGAACAATATTTTCCTAAATTGTTTCCATAAACTCATCATTTTCAAACCATTTCTTGTCTTTCTCGAGCCCTGAAAACAAACCAATTAAATTGTTTTTTTTTGTTGAAACTTTGAAGTTTTTTTTCACAATAATTTTTTATTTTTTTTTCAGAATACTAAAAAAATAGAGTATACTAAAAGAGTACAACACTTGATTACAGAAGCGTCGACTAAACGTCCTAACAAAAAATATTTTTTCTGTTTAAATAAATAATTAACTATATATTTTAACCCTGGAACATTAAATATAGTTGATGAGGCATAAAGAGGGCTAGAATAATAGATGGGGGAGGGGAGGAGGATGAGAGGGATGGGAGGANATCTAATACTACTACAGTAAACATATATAACTGCTACACTGTAGTAAGTATCTAATACTACTACAGTAAACATATATAACTGCTACACTGTAGTAAGTATCTAATACTACTACAGTAAACATATATAACTGCTACACTGTAGTAAGTATCTAATACTACTACAGTAAACATATATAACTGCTACACTGTAGTAAGTATCTAATACTACTACAGTAAACATATATAACTGCTACACTGTAGTAAGTATCTAATACTACTACAGTAAACATATATAACTGCTACACTGTAGTAAGTATCTAATACTACTACAGTAAACATATATAACTGCTACACTGTAGTAGGTATCAGATACTACTACAGTAAATATACGTTCTGTCCAAGCGTAGCAAACTTTCTCGCACTCTCTCTCTCTCTCTCTCTCTTGCTTTATCTATCTCTCTCTCTCTCTCTCTCTCTCTCTCTCTCTCTGTGTATACCCATTTTTACTCACACTCACACACACGCACCACTCAAGTCACACGTCAAGGGGAAACGCAAAAAAGCTAAAACAAATAGGTAAAATGGAGTCAAATAAATTATGAAAAAATCATGTTGAATGAAAACTGTTCAATGAGAATAATAAACAATGTTGATAACATGCAAGCTAACATATATTTGTAAATGTATTTCCTTGACCAAAATGAACAAAAAATTGATACAGTCAACAAAGAAAAATGTTTGTAAATGCGCAAACATACACACAGATGTACAAGCGAAAAGTCAAATCGTTGTAAATATTCTTAAATCTTGAAAATCTTCAAATTCTTTGAGTCTAATGTTTTTGTCACTTTAAGAGTTTTTGTTTGCTAAGTCCAGAAAGGTTTTGTCAACTTTAACCTTGAGGAGAAACCGCAATGATAGGTTTGCAATAATTGAACGATTTTTTTGTGTAAGAAGTATTTACTTTTTATAAATACTATTGGCTTTTAGGAGGCTTCGCGCCTATCTTCTATTTCAACCTATAAATGTGCCTCTATATGTGAGTATACATTATAAAATAATAAAAAGAAAAGTTCTTTGATCTAATGATATGTTATTTGCGGATTTTTTTTAATTTTACGAAAAAAAAAGTTTTGGAGACAATTTCTGTATTTCTAAGCATGCACAAAGGGATATGTCCTCATTTCCCTAGAAGTTGATGACTTTTGACACCCCACATCGACCTAACACACAGGTTTCGAAAAAATGTACGAAAAATGTGGGAATATGTTTTGTTTTTGATAAATCACCATTCAGGCGTGCATGCAAAATAACAACAGAGTAAAATCTCTTAAAAGGCCATATTACCAGAGATTTACTCGGACAGATGAATTCTAGAGTCCAGAATTGAGTTCGATCCAAAATTAATGACTTTTGACACCTCGCATGGACCTAATATAAAGTTTTTAAAAAATGTCCGAAAAATGAAAAATGCGATAAAAATTTTTGAAAAACTAGATCCCAATTCAGGCCTGCATGCAAAAAGAATTATACTAAAACGAAGTTAGAACTTAGAAGGCCCCCCTTTGTATTCCTCATATTTTTTCCAGGCTCCTCTATCTTTGCAACCCATTTAAATTGTAAATTTTTTCAATCAAATTAAAAATTTGGAGGGTTTGCATCATCAGGTTGCAAACGTATAGAGATAATTATATTTGAATTGGTGGAAAAACTCAGTTCCATTGTCATGTGTTGCTTCAAAAATTGCGCAAGCAATTAGCAACTTTTCTCACATTGCGGAAAATTGTGCGAAAATTAGTTTTCGATGCTTTCAAAGAACTTTAAATTTAAGGGTCTTAGGGTTCAAGTTTAACTATTCAAATCACTTTACCACTTGTTTACTTGAAATCGAAAACTATCTTCCATTGTTTTATTTCAGAATTGTTTAAAGGGACTGTAAACGTAATTTCAAGTGACCCTGTGTGCAAATACATGGCAAAATCCGATTTACAACGGTACCCATAAAAGCTTTGTCTGATCAAGCATGAATTATGTATCAACGTTTGTAATTTTGAAAACTGATTATTTTTTATCGTGGTTTCTCTACAAAGGAGATTTGCGTATGTTTTACTGCAGGGAAACATTTTAAAAATTTTCAAAATTAAATCTAGAAAATCCACAATTTCTTCCACATTATTTGATCAGTTAAAGGTTTGAAGGATACACTTGTAAATCAGGCATTGTCCTTTTTGCATTAAAATTACTGTCCCTTCAAATATAAACATTTTTGAAACGAAAAATTCGACAATTACAAACGTTTGTATAATATAATATAAAATTGTCATCCGTAATCTGATTAAGGATTGAAGGGTTTTCCTCTTTTCATGGAGGGTAAAGCTTAAAATTACGTTAACAATCCCTTTAAATGCAAATAATTGTTCAGAAGACACAGCTGGCCTTTTTCCGGTCACGAGAATTCCCCCCATTGACGCAAATCTACTATCTAGGAAAGAAAGGATGTATAGTAAGTGTGCTAGGGGGGGGGGGGGNGGACATGGCCAATTTAATATTTGCAAAAAATTAAGCAGCTATACTTCAGCAACTAAGATGAGATAAGCTAGGGGTGGGCAAAGCTCTAAAAGATCTGTCTAAGATATGTTTTTTTTACACCAAAAACTTTTCATTGATTGGTATTAATATCTAATAAAAGGTTTTTAGTATTTTTGTTCAGGTATGGTTAGACATGGAAAACTAACGGAAAGTTCGGCGTACAAAGAACAGAAATTACAAAATCAATCTTGATTATATTCTCTCTTAAAAAAATCAAGAGAAAAGTATAAAAACTGAAGCACAACAAAAAATGTAAATTTTTATGCCAAGCCGGAGATAAAAGAAAATAAGTTTTTTGGATTTTGAAACAAAAATCGTTTTATTAGATTCTGTAGGGGTTATAAAACGTTTTTGGTAAGAAGGGGGGGGGAGGATTTCAAGCGAGTAAATCCTTCCCTACCACTTAAGGGTGGAAGGATTTCAAGCGAGTAAATCCTTCCCTACCCCTTAAGGGTGGAAGAATTTCAAGAGAGTAAATCACATGCCTCCCCTTCTCACCAATACGTCACGTCACGTCATCTTCAGCCAATAAGCAGTTATATCATATGCGGATTTTGAGTTTGGGTTCCTATGAAGACGACATTTCTAGTACATTGGAGTCCATCCAGAGCAAATATCTAACCTTATTAAATCCTATCCAGGGTAATGATAGTTTTATTCACAACGCTTTTATTCTTTTTTCTTCTTCGTCAATAAAGTTCTCTTTTTTAATATTATGCCCCTTAGATTTTGCAAAGTGGAGGACTTCACCTCCTGCACCACTCTCCGGCTTACAAAGATTATTAGACGAAGATATCAGCTTCGACATAAAAAAATGGAATTTAAGATTTGATTACATATTACAGACTGTAGTAAGTATCTAATACTACTACAGTAAACATATATAACTGCTACACTGTAGTAAGTATCTAATCCTGTCCCCCCCCCCTTCCTGAAACTGATACTTTTTGTTTTAGTTTAAATTTTACAAAATCGTACATTTTTATCATTAACGATTATCCGCGACCGTACAACAGTAAGAACAAGAAAACTGTGGCATAAATGTCGTCCTTATTATTCTTAGTAATTTGCAATCATAGCAACTGAGGAACGGGAACCCCTACATATATAAATCTTTAGCAATATTTCAGAAGTAAAAAGAAAAGCAAAAAATATAATTTTCTCTGTGGAGACTTTTTTTAGAAAGACAAATTCTGCTAAAAGATAATGTTTAAAATCTGATGATTTTACTATTTTTCCAAGGAATTTCAAGTATTCTGTAAAAATAAACTGTATTTTAGGAGAAAGATAAGGCTAAACAGAATAGATTTACTGCATTCTTCAGCATGCATCTTCTTTGGCATGCATTTTCTTGCATTGTGGAAAATGATATAATTTCACGGCGTGTTTTCATTTTAATCATGATAAAGAATCTTTCATGAGTTTTTCTTTCAATCCGGATTTGGTCTTTCATTAGTTTTTCAGAATTTATTCTTTCAGGAGTTTGTCTTTGTAATGCCTGATCTATTTTTTCAGTATAGTTTTTCATTTAGTAAATATTTTTTTTAATCTGTCATTCCGGATTTATTTTTTCCGGAATTTGTTTTTATTCTTTCATAAGTTTGTCATGTCAAATTATTTGTTTTTTCAAAATATTGTCCTTCTGGACTATATTCTTTATCTGGTCACTTTCCAAATTTTTTCAAATCGAAGCTAACGGTTAGTTCCAATCGTTTTTAAAATAAAATCTCATGTAGCTGTTAGTTTTAGAGGGTAAGAACGCAACTTTGTTCCGTTAACAGTATTTTTGTTTTTTTAAAGTTAGCGATAGTTAAACGAACTCAATTTTATTAACAGCGTTAAAGGAAAATTTACAAAGTTAACGGCTAGCTATTACAATTATTAACGGCATTAAGGGCTGAAAGCGCCGAAAAAAAATTTAAACACATAAAACATGTAAATAATATTTGCTTACAAGTTTAATGCAATCTTAAGCAGAAAAAAACGAAATTCACAGTTTTAAACAAGAATTCCCTCTTGTATTCGTTTTCACCTGTTATTTTTTTATTCAAAAACAGCTAATCCGTTTTTTTAACAAATTAAAAATTAACGATTTTTTCCGTTTGTTAACAGACTCTTCCGCTTATAAGCGAAAACCTCAGTTTCGTTAACGATACTTTGCCCAGCCCTACATTTGGTTTTTAAGGAAATTTGTCATTTTGGATTTAGTTGCTCTTTTTTTCTCTGAGAGGTTTGTTTCTGGATTTTTATTTTGGCGGGGAAAATGAGTACAAAAAGTACATTGTAGAACTTAAATACGGTGACAGAATTCCTCCGTTTATTGGACCCTGGAGTTGTAAAAGTGAAATATGCGGATATTTTGCACAAGCTAATTTTTAGTTAACACCTTACCTTAGAGCTTGCTTTCTATGTTTATTTTCCTTAATTTCGATCAATTCTTTTTTTAGGATGAAAGATCAAAATGTTAACAAAAGTTTCGTGATTATTTTTCAGCACTTTACTCATAAAATTCAACCAAAAAACCACGTGACAAACAATTAAACAGTAGGCCACAATATAATATCATTTAAAGGTCCGACTGTGAGTATATACCTGTTTTTTAACGCAGTTTAATAAAGAAATTTGCATTTATCCATCATTTCTTTATTTACCATACATGATACACCTTGTAATAGGTTTTCAGCATTTTGTGTTAATTCTTTCTGAAATATTCATCTTTAGAACAAATCTCATCTAGGTCATTTATATTTTCGCTAGATGAGTACCCCCTGGGTTATACTTAGGCTTAAAAATTATGGATTTTTCATATTCCCCGAATATGCTGACATTATGATTTAAGGTCAAGCGCGGGTAAACGGCCGAAGTAACCTGGGCATTAGTGAAACGCCGCGAAAATCAGCCAGTCTAGTAAATCTATGGAAACAAAAAATTTCGATTTATTACGACCTAGAAATAAGATTTAATATAAAACCCTAATTAATCACAAAGTCCGTTGTTTCTTCAAAAACTTTACAATTATTCAAAAATTTTATGATTTCATTTTTTTTCCTCCACGGAGCTGACTAAATTTATCAAACTCGGAACTTAAGTTTATTTATCTTTTAAGCATTTTTTAAATGCAAAAACGAACTGTTAAAGATGCAACATAAACATAACTAACTACTACTTTAACTGATGCTACATTGTATTATTAAGTATCTAATACTACCTCAGTTAACGTATATAACTGCTACACTGCAGTAGGAAGTATCTAATACTATTACAGTAAACATATATAACTGTTACACTGTAGTAAGTATCTAGTACTACTACAGTAAACATATATAACTGCTACACTGTAGTAAGTATCTAACACTACTACAGTAAACATATTTAACTGCTACACTGTAGTAAGTATCTAGTACTACTACAGTAACATATATAACTGCTACACTGTAGTACGAATCTAAAACTACTACAGTAAACATATATAATTGCTTCACTGTAGTGGGTATATAATACTATTACAGTAAACATATATAACTGCTACACTGTAGTAAGTATCTAATACTACTACAGTAAACAAATATAACTGCTACACTGTAGTAAGTATCTAATACTACTACAGTAACATATATAACTGCTACACTGTAGTAAGTATCTAATACTACTAAAGTAAACATATATAATTGCTTCACTGTATTGGGTATCTAATACTACTACAGTAAACATATATAATTGCTTCACTGTAGTGGGTATCTAATACTACTACAGTAAACATATATAACTGCTACACTGTAGTAAGTATCTAAAAAAAGTCCTGTTTCCTTAAAGGAGGGAGTTGGAGAGAGGGGAGTCTACAAATAAATTGAGACTAACCTTTTTTGGGTCAAGAAGACGAAAGGATAACCGTGCTTTTCAGATAAATCGTCCCCGTCCCCTTCTCTCAATGGAAATGTATAAAATTTGAAATGTCTTTCATTAAAATTTAGGTTTCCTTATGTTTTAACTACAGGGTGTCCCACAAAACATGACAGTTCGTGAATAGTTTTGAATGTCTTCTTCCATATGCTGTATTAGATATTGACTTTGTGTAGCTCATTTTGTTAAAAAAATCTTTTACTCAAATATATTTTTCGTTGAAATTGATTTTACTTTATATGATGACTCCCATACAATATTTTTCATTATTCTCTTTGGTTTCAAACAACTTAAAAAATTATGGAAGAAGACATTTTAAACCATTCACCTGCTGTCATGTTTCGTAAGAAACCCTGTAGTTTAATGGTTAAAAAGTCGATAGTCACGAAACCTGCAGTTTTATATCATCACACAACCTCTTAATTTATTTACAGAGAGAGAGAAATGGTTATACAAAAATATTGAGCGTATGCAGGAAACGATAATCATGAAATAAGTCTGATTAAATTCTGTACACATGTCTCTGAAGTCTCGTCCTATTTAGGTAACCCTGTATGTACAATGTACATCATTGAGATCATTAAAGTTACAGGGTTACCTGGAAAAGCTAGAGATGAGACATCATGAATTAAGTTATGAAGCTGTATACGGAATTTTGAGCAAACTTTCTTACATTCTTAGTTCCATGACAACTTTAAATTTCTTTCTTTCTTTTCAAAATAAATTATTGAATCATTATAAATCTATTATAATTATTATAAATCATGTCTGTTTAGCACGCAATTAAGATATTATTTATGAATAAAAACACCGATAAGTTTTATGTATAAATATATTATTACGACTACACAATTAATAAATGTATGTTGTTGATCAGTTAATCACTGGCTTGAGTGCCCGGTGTTGCCCATGTTTATATTATGTTTTACAGTTCCTCCAGTTATTTACCCATGTTTAAATGAAAAGAAGGGTACTCGGACTACACAATTAATAAATGTATGTTGTTGATTAGTTAATCACTGGCTTGAGTGCCCGGTGTTGCCCATGTTTATATTATGTTTTACAGTTCCTCCAGTTATTTACCCATGTTTGGTATTAAATGAAAAGAAGGTTACTCGGAGATTTAAATTAATGAATAGAAGACCAATTGAGCAACGTCTCCAATTTGAGACGCGGCTCAAACATGGTTGGTTCCACTTGAAATTGTAATTAGTGTTTCGAGATTTGAGCCGGTGCTCAATTGGAACCGGTTTTATGGTGATTCAGCGACGCGGTTTAAATTCTTTTAATTCGGCCTCGGCTGGGGAGATTTATACAGATAAAGAGGGGCCTAAAGATGAATGGAAGAGGGGGGAGATTGATATTGATGGTTTGCGGGGGGGGGGGAGAGATTGATTTAGTTGAATTGAATCCAAGTGACTGATAGCCTAAGATTATTCTGCCTTCAGGAATATATATTAAACATAGTTTATCATCAAGCACTGGAACACTTTCAATATTCTCACTAGTAATCAATGAATAACATGAAAAACGACCTATTTTCTTCAGAATGACATATAAACTAACCTAAATTCTCACTGTTAAACAATGGATAACATGAAAAACGACCTATTTTCTTTAGAATAATAAGTAAACCGAACTATATTCTCTCTGGTAAACAATGGATAACATGAAAAATGACCAATATTCTCTAGAATAATAAGTAAACCGACCTATATTCTCACTGGTAAACAATGAATTTCATGAAAAACGACCTATTTTCTTTTGTATGATATGTAAATCGACCTAAATTCTCACTGTTAAACAATGGATAACATGAAAAACGACCTTTTTTCTTTAGAATAATAAGTAAACCGACCTATATTCTCACTGGTAAACAAAGAATATCATGAAGAACGACCTATTTTCTTTAGAATAATATGTAACTCGACCTATATTCTCACTGGTAAACAATGGATAACAGCAAAACCTCTATGTTTTAAAATACTACGTAAACCGACCTATTGGCTATATATACTCACTGGTAATCGCATTATGGCATGAAAAATGATTTATTTTTTAATGACATGTAAACCGATCGAATTTGAAGCATTGCTATGCTGCAGACTATTGAGTAAAGTGATCACTGTTTAGTTCTAGCCTTATTTCTGGGTAAACGTTAAATAATGGTAGTAGACTCTACGCAGCAAATTTTCCGCGGCATTCGCGCACAATTCTGTGAATGTAAACAGTAAATTAAGTGAAAGTATTTCTCATATTTGAGAATCAATCAAGTTTTGCTGAGCGACAGGCAGTAAAAATCAATTGTTTTAACATTAGGGATCCATATTACAGCTTAATAGTTTACATAAGTTAATTGTTAAGATTCTGATATACTTGCAACTATATGAGAGTTAAATGTATAGTTAATTATATACTTCTGTACTCACATTATATATCAGCATATAGTGTATACCTTAAGTGTATAAATATAATTCATAATTGTAAAATTTCAGTTAAAATATCAGATTTCTGTTGTGCGTATTGCCGTAAACTGCAAAAATATGCGCGGATGCCGCGGAAAATTTTTCTGCGTAGAATCTACTACCATTATTTAACGTTTACCCAAAAATAACGCCACACCTGGACCATAGACTGGGGTTTGAAGAAATAACATAAAAATGAGTCGGAACTCGGTATTACAAAATAATGCTTCAATACAAGTTAAAAATCTATCAGTTCAATAAAGGTTTTATTTTTTTAAAGATATCTCTTTCAACGTTCCGGGATATTTATCTCAAGATACTGATAAATCTAATCCTAATTATTTCAAACTAGATTGGAGTGCGAGAGTTCTTTCTGACCATATATAAACTGTTTACATTCAATTTTACTTTAATTAGGCGTGAAGCATTAAGCATTTCTGTTTGATTTATGCCGCACAGCGATTTAACTAGTTATGAAAATTAAGCCAACCAAACCGACTTTTAGTATCCCCATGTGTTTAGCACTCTAGTATGCCGAGACCATTAGCATCTGATCCAATCAGGGTTCAGTCATGTGTTTGGTGTTTATTTTGAACCAATAGAAATTGCATTGCGGTAACATTTATCCAATTAAAAATAAATCCTTATATCGGCGCTATAACAGTAAATGGACATATTCACTTATACTGAAACTATAGAAGCACAAGAGGATTTTACTTGCGCGCATTTGCGAGCCCTATAGACTCCTAACAATGGCACGAAATTTGAGAACAGTCGCGCGCAATTCCGCACAGTTGTGCGACATTACGCGCAATTGCGCGCAAAGTGTTTGACACCCCACCGTTATGTTTTTCAGTCCTGGGTATGAAGATACACACTTGGAAAGTAATTTTTACACCTTCACTTTTACTTAATAATCTTACTTTAGTCAAATGGATTAAGAGTCTAAACTCTTTAAATAAAGTTGCATCAATTTTTAAGACTGGGTCGACTTGGATGTGTCGGAACGCCTTGACCTTTGATTTTACAGCACTTTTGTGTAGCCCTCGATGTCTGATAAATTTCATTCAATTTTAGTGTTAGAGTTTGCAACCATATGTACAGTTTCATCATTTTTTTTGCCATATTTAAGTTGACACTGTGAACCTATACACAAATGTGTACGTACCAATTTAAGTTATATAGTGAACAATTTGGTAGAAAATATCTAGTAATTTTACCAGACTGTTTGCTCAGTGTAATTTTACCAGACTGTTTGCTCAGTGTAATTTTACCAGACTGTTTGCTCAGTGTAATTTTACCAGACTGTNCCCTACCCAGCCGTATACCCTTTATATTGTATAACTAATTATATT